GAGCTGGCATGCAGATGAAAGTGGGAGCCAATGTGCATTTATACTGAAGAGGGTAGGATATAGTATGAGGCTGGAGCAGAGCAGGAGGCCTCCAACCACCTTCCTTGCACTGCTTTAGATAGTTCCCAGCAATGTGTTTCAAGACTAGGTAGGAGAAAGCAAGACTAGATCCTAAAATCCTAAATCCCAAGATTCCTCCCCCTGGGTGGGATAGCCTAATGTAACCAGTCTGTTTAAAAGAACTATCCAAACTGACCCTCAGTAGCCAGCCCTTTCTTCCCTTAGACTCCAGGCAGTAACCTGGAGCTTTTAGGTACCACTCAGATGATCTGCTGTCATTCTTTTTATGAAATAAATTTTAATTTCATGCATGCATGCAAATGTATGACATTTTGGTCATATTCATTCACCCCACGCTCCTCCCCCAACTCTACTATCCACCCCCTTTTGCTGTCAGGCTTGGTGTGTGTTCTAATCTGTACTATTGCTTGACTTTAAAAAAGTTTTTCCCTTCTCAATTTGTTTTTGCTTCATTCTCGAATAAGGTCAGGAACCTGGGAATTCCCAGACTAGATCCCGACCCCAGGACTAGGATGTTGGGATCTAGTCTGGGAATGTTCTCTTGCTGTGAGCTAGGTGTGTCTACCCCTTGTGTTCATTGTGTAGCAATCCATCAAATTCAGTGTTGGGTTTCAGCATTTTAAAAAATTAAAAATCATGCTTTCCCAAACTGTAAGTAGCTGGAGGTGATGGCACACACCTTTAATCTCAGCACTGGGGAGTCAGATGCAGGCCTGGTCTACATACTGAGTTTCAGGACAGTCAGAGTCAGGACTTCACTAAGATGCTCGCTCTCAAAATTAAATAAAATTCCAGGAAATGCTTTACACCTGAGAAATAACAAGGTCATCATGAGTAAGAATATATATAGTGTTATCTAGATGCACTCAACAGATCAATTTAGGATTGGAGAGGAAAGTACCAATTTCATGGAATGTGGTTTCTTTCAGGCTTTATGTCTGATACCTTGGTCAAGGGGGATGTTATGTCCATGGTCCTCAGTGATGGTGAGGGCCATGTGCAAAGACCGCGTTGTTCTTTTCGTTGGACAGTCTACCTTGCGAGACCCTTTTGGCACTAGCCTCCATGCTCACTCCCTCTGCTGCTTGGCACACACTGATGCCTGGACTGGTTTCTGTGTGGCTCTTGGTAGAGTGGAGCTGACTCTGAAACCCAGCAAATTCCATCTAGTCCAGCTGGGACCAGAACCTGTAGGAACCTTGCTAACCCTTAGTTCTTTTACACTCCAAGGCAACCCTTGGCACTGTGAGTTCTTGGTGTCTTCTCTCCTCACAGAGATCCGCCTGCCTCTGCCTCCTGAGTGCTGAAGTTAAAGGTATATACTGCTCAGCCTCTTGAGAACTGCTTTGCATCTGCCTCGTGGAGCTAATCTGTTGACAGATGAAAAGATGAAGAAGGGAACATGCACAACACTAACCATGCCCACAGTTCCTCGGTGGACTTGGTCTCCTCAGTCAATTCTCAGAGCGGTAAGGATCTCGTTTTAACGTTCTTTTCCATTTCTGGCATTATACACAACAGTGTATTCCACCAAATCTGTAAGTTGAAGGCCAGGGCAGCTCCCAAAGTAACCATATAAAGAACCTTAAGGAGGCAATAACATCCAGGAAATCATGAGGTAGGGCCGCTAATCCTCTAGGAAGAGAAAGAGATACCAAAGAACTCTTTTCTCTGTGAGAAACAGTGACCCTCCTCAGAAGCCAGATTTGATGAAGGCTACACCTGGATTTGTATCAGATAGCTCAGGTAGGCCTGTTGTTTAAGCCACCAGGTCTCTGTGTTATTTCAGACAAAACTTGTATTTGTGTCTTTTCTTTTGCTGTGATAAAACACCATAACCAAAAGTGACCACATGCAAGAGTTTATTTTGGCTTCCAATTCCAGAGGGTGGGTTGGAGGGAAGGGAAGGTCTGACAACAGGTAGCCAGAGCAGGAAGCCGAGAGATCACATCTTCAACCTCAAACTTGAAGCAGAGGGAGTGAGCACTTGGGTGAGACTGAATTCTCAAAGCCTGGCCCCCATGTCGTACTTCCTTCAGCAAGGTTGGACCACCTCTCCAAACAGTGTTGCTGGGGATCAAGCATTCAAAGAGTTGGGGGGGGGGGCTTTATCATTCAAACCACCACAAATCTCATCGCATGATATCTCCTGCTTAGACCCCTAAAGCCAGCTCAGATGTTGGTCAGCTTGTCAGAAACTGTTTTTAGGAAGACCCTTCCTAACAAATCTCTTCCTTGGTGTTAAGGGAAAAAACAGGTCGAGCACTGCACTTAATTCTTTTAGAAAACACCAATTTGGGGGAGAAGCTGGTCTGTGAGCAGGGGTGCCTTTCCTTCGTTCTTAGGCCAGTGAATAAAGCCTTTCATTATCCCCAGCATTTCTTGGATACTGGTTGTTCAATGAAACAAACAGTCTAGGCTTGGCCCTGTAATATGAGGTATTTTGTCAACATGGCTTAAGCAGACAAATACACTGAGGGACCCAAACACAAACCTTTCTGGAAAACCAAGCAGGTGGTTGCTGGGTAGATCTGGCTCTAAATAAATTTGGTGCCCTGTGTCTCTTATCTCTTCGATGTCTCAGGACTGCCTCCCACTGGAGTTAATCTCATCTTTTCCCTGCCCTCTAAAGCCAGCTCCAGCCTCCCTGCTATACTCCCTCTGTCCTTATTCCTGCATGTCTCTCAGGTCTCACTGGGCCCTTTCTCTGATCCACAACCCATCTGAACTTTGTTGGAATTGCTCTTTTCTTTTAGAGACTGTGTGTCTTTTGTTTCCTAATCTGACTTTGAACTCCTAGATTCAAGTGATCCTGCCTCAGCTTCCTGTGTGACAGAATGCTGGAGCAAACCACCCAATCTGGACTCACAGGGACTCTGTAGAAGAAAGATTTCATGTCACTTCATTCTCAACAGGCTCCATTTCTAGCACCCTCAGAAGTGCCCGCGTAACACTTTGTCTGGATTAAGGGAGAACCTGCTGCAAGGAAAACAGCTAAGTTCCTTACTCTGTGCGCTATGTCTTATTGTCAGGAGAAATCAAGAGCTCATTATTAAGGCTGGGCTGGCTCTGAGGAAGGCAGGGCCCAACAGTCCCTCTCTTCCCTGCCATCTTCCTCTATTTCCTGAGATTCCATTTCCAGCTTTCACACCTCACCCTAGCCACCCAATCACTGGTAGAATTGGAGAGTGTGTTTTGTAAAGCAACAACAGGACCAGCATAGAGATTAGTGAATATGACATTGATTATGGAGTCAAGACTGATGGGGTTTCATTTCTAGCTGTGAGCATTTTGGGTGGTAGGAGAAGCCTTGAACAAGACCTCTCTTGGAGCTTCAGCTCTCTCAGTTGCTAAAGAGAGGAAGTAGTCCTGTGACATTTCATGGGTTTAAGGAGATATGCCCTGGAGCAAAGCAGACCAAGCCAGATTTTTCCCTGAGCACATATTTAAGTGTCTTTTTTTTTTTAAATTACATTTTAAAATTTATGGTATGTATGTGTGCACTCACCCATGTGTGTTTGTGGAGGTCAGAGTCTGGGGGAGATGGTTCATACTTTCTTCCACGTGGGTCCTGGAGATTGAACTCACTTCATCAGGTTGGCAGCAAGCTCCTTCACCTGCCAAGCCATCTGTCAGCCCCACCCTGAGTGCATCATTAAGAAGTCAAACCCTCCCTCCAAAAGCTGCATTCCTAGAGTACTTGTTGATGAATTTGGCAATTGGCAGTGGGGAGTGAATGAAAGCTTTTAAGGTCTGTTTGGGGCTTGGGGCAGGGGAGCAGGGCTTTCCTCAATGACATCCTCAACTCTGCCATTGCTCATTCTACTCTTCATTTGTATGTTTTTATTTGTGATAAATTTTACCATGTAGCCCAGATTAACCTAAAATTCAGTCTTTCTGCTTCAGCCTTCCAGGACTAGGATGGGTTATTTCTGAGAGCCAGAGTCCAATGTGCCGAGCCCAGTATTCCCTTCTGAGAGGGTTAGTCCCCAGAAGTCTTTAGGGATGTCACCTTTGCCGTGGCACACCAAGCCTGTTTCCCTGCCTTCTTTTGCTGTTGTGAAACCTTAGAAAGAGCTAGCCCAAGGAGATGGGGCGAGGGAACAGAAAGCAAGGCCTCAGATCCCTGCTTCTGTGTGTGTGCCGGGTGGGAAAGGGCAGCACAGTGGATGCGAGACAGTGGCAATGTGATTCTCCAACTGCGTAAGTTTGGGCAACTGGTATTCACCTTGGAAAATCCCACTGCTTCCCATGGAAGATGGAAATGGTAACAAAGCCATATTAGAGCTGGAGAACTGCACAAATGTTATAGTGACTGCAGAAAAATGAAGTGAAAAAACTACGATAAATTCTGGGTTGTTGTCAGGTGTCATGGCACACATCTGTAATCTGGGGGAAGTAGAGGCAGGAGGATTGAAGTTTAAGCCCAGCCAGGGCTACAAAGGAACATTGTGTTTAAGAAAACAAGACACAAAGGGATGAGTCTGGCTTTGAGTCAGACAGGCTGAATAGGTCAACATCCAATATTCTTCCCTGGATTGACTCAGACTTGGTCATGTGACTTGACTAACAGGAACAGACAGTGCCTCCTCGTTTCCCCAGAAAATATTTCAAAGATCGCCATCAGGCTTTCTTTTACCTGCTCTTGTGATTAGAAGATGGATGTGTAAAAAGGGACCCCGTGGAGCCTAGATCTGGAGTGACTAGAATAGATAATACTTTCATGTTGTTCCTGTGAAAGCCCACTAAGATGGAGAGTGAATTGGTGCAGCTGCAAAACCCACCCTGGCTTCACGGTACACTTGGGAATTGTTTATTTCATTTAGCAGAAATACAACACAATAGGACAGGCACAAAGATACAACACAGTTCAGCACGGTCTTAGTGGCAGTATGGGGCACCTTCTTTGGCTTCTGCTGCTGCGGTCACTTGCTGCTGCTCCTGGAAGAGGGCCGGTAGACCCCAACGACCACAGCGTGATCCCTTTCGTAGGGCTCCAGGGTGAGCTGCTCCTGCGGCTTCAGGTTCTCCTGTTGCAGCTTCTTCACCTCAGAAGCAAACACGGCCTCCGCAGACGCTGTGGAGTCGATGCAGTTGGCCTTGATGGAAATGAGGAAGTGGCCTCCGTTGCGCAGAAAGGTGTGGGCGTTGAGCGCCACGATGCGGGACTGGTCTGGCTGGGCCACGTCAGCGAAGATCACATCCACCATTCCGATGAGCATGCGGTACTTGAGTGGGTGCCGGGCATCTTCCAGTACTGGGATGATGTTGGTGCGCTTCTTGGCCACGTTGACCAGATCACGGCCGGCGCGATGGGAGAATTCAACCGCATAGACCAGGCCATCGGGGCCGATGATATCGGAGACGTGAGAGACGGTGGTTCCAGAGGCGGCGCCCAAATACAGCACTCTGGACTTGGGCTTGATGTGGATCCTGTCCACACCCCCCAGGATAGCGGCTGCCAGTTTGGAGCGGAAGGGGTTCCACATTCGGTACTCCACCTTCTCGCCGTCCTCTATTATGGTGACGCGCTTCTCGCCATACACCGAGACTCCCGGCACCAAGTTCATCGTGACCAGTGCGTCCTCCGCACCGCGGTAGATAAACACGCCCGCATGCCGGTGCGGCTCCACCGTCACGGTGATGGCCTTTCTGCGGCGGTTCTTGTTCCTGCCCCTGCCGGGGCCGCGGCGATGACCACTGCCGCCGCGGTCCCTGCTGTCTCCGCGCTTTCGCCCCCGGCCTCGGCTGCCGCCACCGCCGCCGCCGTAACCGCCACCACCGTAGCCGCCGCCGCCGTAGCCACCGCCGCTGCCGCCGCCGCTGCTGCCGCCGCCGCCGCCGCCACCATAGCTGCCGCCGCCACCACTGTAGCCGCCGCCGCTGTAGCTGCTGCCACTGTAGCTGCTGCTACCGTAGCTGCGCGAGCGTGATCCATAGCTGCCTTTGGACCCCGAGCCCCCATCGCCTCCCTTGCTGCCTCCCTTGCCGCCTCCCTTGCCTTTGCTGCCTTTGCTGCCTTTGCCGCTTTTACCGCCACCCCAGCCCCAGCCGCGGCTACCGGCCGGTTTCATGGCTCCTGCGGTTCTCGGGAGTTGCCGCAGTGGTCGCGGATTGCTGGGAAGTTGCTGCGCAGAGCGGACAAATTGGTAGCGGAGGCTGCCTGCAGAATTAGCCGCAGTGGGATGCGGGATGCCGCATCCCCAAACCCACGCTTTGACGCAATGACTTGCGTGATTGCATCAGCGGCGCCTTGTAGACCCTGTAGCCCCCGGAAGCCCCCCTGCTTCACCTATGCGCAGATGCAGCCAGCTCACTTGTAACCCTTTGCCGTCTCTCCGCTGGTGCTCTCTGCTTTCCCGGAGACATGTGTTCTTCCCCTAGACCTCCTAGTGGCTAGAGTCGCTGTGGCAGGGGAGGGGGAGTGCAGCTCTCATCCCGTGTGTCTGTTGCTCGCCCGTGTGACCACAGATTTATTGTGTAACCTGATTCATAGAGCACTTACTTCGGTGTGAAAGGAAATGCCATGTTTATCCTCGGGATTCTGTCTTTGTTTTTTTTTTTTTTTTTTTTTTTTTAAATCACTTTTTCAATCAAACCTTGAGGCAAGGAGGAAGCAATAGCCAGCACCAGGGACAGAAACAGACTAGTGACGCAGTTTTTAGCATCCGGTCAGCACCAGGGACAGCGTCAGCAAGTCCCTTTTTGACCACTGTTGGTGGCTTTGGGGCCTCTCCTAAGCTGGACTGCGGAGACCTAAACACCTGTTTGTCCTCCCTGTTAGTGAATTAAGTGCCAGACACAGAGAGACGTAATGCAATGCACCTGAGGATCAGAGCGTGAGCCAGGGAGAGGATGTGCACGTGATTAATCTCCATCCCTGTCTCACATCCCCAGAGAGCGATGCAGGACTGGTTCCCCCTGAGGACTGGAAGGCCTTCTAGATGGGGGCTACAAAATGGCAGAGGAAGAAATGCGTGATTCCTGGAATGGCTGGCTCACGGGAAACACTTACTACAAATTGAAGAGTGTTCTCCAAAATGAGCTACGTTTGCTGTCTTGGTTGTGTCTCCTCTAGTCAGACCTTGTGGTGATTAGATTTGTATCTACTTGACTCGGCCATGGGTGCCCATTTACTTAATCAAATATCACTTTGGGTGTTTCTGAGCAGTTTTGGACGAGGTTAACATTTAATTTGAGTAATACAGATTGTCCTGCACTGTGGGGTGAGTTTTATTTAATCAGTTGAAGGCCTGAATAAAATTAAAAGACTGACCATCCAAGGAAGAGAGAATTTTGTTTACCCAGTAGCCTTTGACTGTTGCTGGAGGTTTTTCTCCCAGCCCCAAGCTCCCAGAATAATGACTCATGAGACTCAAAATCTTATACAGATCCCTAGGCCATATAGTGAGGCTCTTTTCTGACTAGCTCATAACTGAAAATAACCCGTTTATTCTATATAATCTACATTCTGCCATGTAGCTGGCTACATGTGCTCAGGCAATATGTGTCTATCCTTACAATCTTGTCAGCTGAATCCCTTGTACCTGTCTCTATCCCAGAGTCCTTTCTGCCTCCTGGATGCCCCACCTCCTGTTTTCTGCCTGAGCTACAGATCATGAGATTTATTATTGACAGATGCTACATCCATACAATACACAAGATATTCCTTCTACATTTGACCTGGCACATTAGTTCTTATCCAGCAACTTCTGGAGAAGGATGTTGGTTTTGAAGATTTCTGATTTGCCAGCACCCATAATTGCATGAAAATATATTTGTGTGTGTGGATGCATATACATGACATCATTTCCCTACAGATTCTGTTTTCAGAAAAAAAAAATCTATAGACTCTAAAGAAAAGGTCACGTGGGTCCTGATGGAGGTGATACCAAGAAACATACACAAGAGTTGAAGAGATGGCTCAGCAGTTAAGAGCCGCTGGCTGCTCTTCCAGAGGACCTGGGTTCAATTCCCAGCACCCACCTGGCAGCACACAGCTGTTTGTAATTCCTGTCCCAGGGAATCTGACACCCTCACATAGACATATGTGCAGTCAAACACCAATGGACATAAAACAAAAATCAATTTTAAGCATACACAGAGCTAGCAGAATGAGGACAGGGCAGCTAGAAAGGATGTATTAAAAAGCAGATAAATGCTGTGGGTGATTGAGGAGCAACTGGTTCTCTTACGAAAGGTGTGGAAAGCATCCAAAGAAATGATGTGTTGATAGCTGGGTGGTGGTGGTGTACATCTTTAATCCCAGCACTCAGGAGGCAGAGGCAGAGGAATCTCTGTGAGCTCAAGGCTGGCCTGGTCTACAGAGAGAATTACAGGACAGCCAAGGCTACACAGAGAAACACTGCCTTAAAAAAAAAAAAAAAAAAAAGGGAAGAAAATTAAAGAAATGATGTGCTGTTGGTCCATCTTTCTGTCTGTCTTCCCCTTCTCTTTCTTCTTCTTCTTTTTTTTTTTTTTTTTTTTGTTTGTTTGTTTTTCAAGACAGGGTTTCTCTGTGTAGCCCTGGCTGTCCTGGTACTCCCTCTGTAGACGAGGCTGGCTTTGAACTTAGAGATCCACCTGCCTCTGCCTCCTCTTTAATTCCTGCTGGAATTAAAGGCAGTGCCTTCATACCCAGCAACAGATGCTCTTTCAAGATGGTGTCTTGCTTCTGCTAAGTGAAATAGTGTGATAAATGGGATTTCACTCAACCACTAATCTGTCCTCTTGAGATTTTGTCTTCCCCAAACCTTCCCCAAACCTGCAACTGGGTTTGAGATTCATGAGGGTCGTGGCTTGTTCTGCGGTAGGACTGTCTGGGTTTCCTAGGGCTTCCTGTTGCGTATGGTTTTTGCATCCCCTGTCCATTTCAGGAAACTGCTGGTCTGAAGGTGTGCTTGGCTAGCTTCTTTGTGTGGCAGTGCTCATTTGTTCCTTTCTTCATGGGTTTTTGTTTCTGTTCTTGTAAACAGTTTTTTTAAGATTTTATTTTAAAGAGTGTGTTTCCTGGGTTGGAGAAATGGCTCAGCAGTTAACAGCACTGGCTGCTCTTCCAGAGGACTTGAGTTCAATTCCCACCAACCAGGATGATCTATAAGGGGATCTGATGCCCTCTTCTGGCATGCAGGTATACATTAGATAGCACTCATAGATAGATAGATAGATAGATAGATAGATAGATAGATAGATAGATAGATAGATAGATAGATTTTAAAAAAGAGTGTGTCTCCCTGCATGCATATTTGTGCATCGTGTGCATGCAATGCTTGAGGAGGCCAGAAGAGGTGTCAGCTTCTGGGACTGGAGCTATTGAGGGCTGTGTACTGCCATGTAGGTGCTGGGATTGAGCTCCCGGCATCTTCTGCAAGAGGAGTCAGGGTTCTTAACCCTGACTATCTCTCCAGCCCTTTGGTTGTAGTTTTGAGATGGGGTCTGAAAACTGGCTAGCCTGACACTCTCTCTGTAGACCAGGCTTGCTCTGAACTCAGATCTGCCTGCCTCTGCTAGTCAAGTGATGGGATTAAAGGTGTATGCCACTACTAAAGTCTATTTTTTCCTCATGTTTCTGTCACTATATTCACAGAAGCTCTAGTCTCCCATCTGATGATGATAATCAGTGTCTATCAAAGTACCTTTATATAAGCATAGATTCAGATTATATATTGATCAGCTAATGAAAATGAAGCTCACAAGTGACCTTGTAGTTCGGAGGAATTATTAAAACATCCATCACTTGGGCATTCACAATGACTCTATGGACCACAGCTACCATGGCTGAAACCATGGCTGTAACCATGGCTACAAAATGAATAGTTTTGTAACTGTTACACAGTTCTGTGAGTCTGAGGCATCCTCAAGGTATACAGAGCAAAGTTGCCCACAACTAAATGGAGAACAGCCAAACTTGAGAAGCATAGTAAGAGAACTTAACACACTTCTTTCATCAGTTGAATGAAAGTCAGACAAAACACAGAGTGTAATGTGAGAACATAAAGGATATTAAAGTGGAGTCAAAAATCCCCATCAGGGACATTTGGCTTGCTTCTAGTTTATTGTGGGTAATGCTGCTATGATCATGTGTGTATGGGTTCTTGGCTCTCTCACCCTCACTAATGTTTGCTTTGCTGTGTTTATACCTGATGGTAGCCATCTTGGTCTGTATGAGAGGGTATTCTCGTTTCGACTCACAGCTGCCTGACAGCTGATAAAAGCATCTTTCATGTGCTTATAGGCAATGCATGTGTCTTGTCTGGAAATGTTACTCTTCAAGTCCTTTCCTGTTTTAATGGACTTACTTGCATCTTTGCCGAGTTGTATACAATCTGTAAAGATTGCTGGCTGATATGCTATGCAAATGTTCTCTCCCATGGTGTGGACTGTCTTTTTCCTCGATACTTTTCATTCCTTTGCCTCACAAAATTTTAAACTTCAATGAAATCTAACTATGTCCCCCCCCTCCCCTTGGTATCATATTAAGAAACCATTTCCTAATCTAAAATCACAAAGATTTACATTTAAAATTATCCTTCAAGTTTCATGCTTTAAGTCTTTTCCCTACCCAGACAGAGTCTCACTATGTAGTTCTGGCTGCCCTAGAATTCACTACATAGACCAGGCTGGTCTCAAGCTCTTAGAGGTCCTCCCGCCTCTGCCTCCTGAGTGCTGGGATTAAAGGGTGACTGGTGAATTTCAAAAGACCCACCTTCACCATCAGAAATCCTTCTCTACTTAGTCTGTTATTGAGGACTTCAACTGTGTTTTTGACTTACACACAAAATCACAGAAGAACTTTGTGTGTGAGTATGTGTAGGTGTGTTTGAGTGTGCATATATGCTTGTATGTTTGTCTGTGTAGGAGTGGGCATGTGTATGTGTGTGTGTGTACGAATATGTATACATGTGGAGGTCAGAACAGCTATCATTGCTTTAATGCCTGGAGACTGGGTCTCTCACTGAACTGCTGCCACTTCAGCTTGGCTGTGGTGCAGACGCTAGGAAGCTCCTACCGGAACACTATGCTTTTTGCCTGATGCTAAGTCACTGTGTCCATGATGACGTCACTTACAATGTGGCCTTGCTAAGATGCTACTGTTCACCTTCTGCTACACTGGGAGGCCCCATGGCCCAGAAGCCAAGGCCACAGTTGTTAGTATGGTTTTCTTTGCTCTCTAGGCTGCCATCTTATATTAATTTCTATGTATCTGTGACCCTTCCTTTCTTTCCTTTCCTTCCTTCCCTCCGTTCCTTCCTTCCTTCCTTCCTTCTCTTCCTTCCTTTTTCTTTTTCCTTTTTTTCTTTCTTCTTCCTCCTTCTGTTCCTTCTTTCTTTCTTCTTCCTTCTTTTTCATTTGGCCACTCGGGAGTTTGACCTCTCACTTTCCAAGCCAGGAAACTTTGAACTTTACTTCCCAGCAGGTCAGCTATTTCCAGAGTGGCAGGGACTCTGCACCACACTGGCCTAGCATGGCCCTATCTTCTGAGGCAAGCCTGCCAGAAGCATGAGTTGATCTTCAGGAGCAATGCCTTCCAGTGAGGCCACTTGGGCTTTGATCTGGGTGACCGTCTCCTGGCCAGTAACCTTGAGGGTGTGACTTGGGCATGTGCAAAGTGTTGCATGTTAGCAACTAACCCACAGATGGTACTGATGCTGCCTCAAAGATGGAGTCAAGAAAGAGCAGTCCATGTTCTTAACCTCTCACTCTCATTGAATGCTTTTTCTTTTCTTCCCAACTAGTCCCCTTCCTGCTTTCATTTTTTTTTTTTAACCCACTGAGTTCAGGATTGCTTGTATGAACATGGGCAACCTAACAGTGACTATGCCACTACAGAGAATGTCACTACAATATTAACTGCCAATATTCCTCAGGGTGGGATGGGATTTTAGGAGCCCTTCTTCTATCTGTGATGGAATGAAGTAGGCATTGGGCAAGTGTCCAAAGCTGCTGTGTTCGTGATTTCAATGGCCACACCATATCCAGAAGACAAGGCTTCATTACACACCTGCTTTAAGTTCCCTGTGTTTATTTATGGTAGATGTTGATTTTTTTTTCTTGTTTTGATGCTTTGGACCTTAATATCAAGGCTTAAAAATGAGTTAAGTGACCTCCTTATTCCTGTGTGTTGGGGGCGTGGTACTGGGGATTGAACCCAGGGCATTATGCATAATTAGTGAAGCAATCTGCCATTAAGCCATGTGTCCATGAGGCTAGTTCTTTTTTTCTTCATTAATTTACTTATTTGCTTTACACACCGATTACCATTTCCCCTCCTTTCACTCCTCCCAGTCCTTTCATCTCTCCTTCCTTTCTTCCTTTCTCCTCAGAGAAGGGGAGGCATGGATAGCAACCTGTCTTGGCATATCAAGATGCAGCAGTAGGACTAGGTGCATTCTCTCCCATTCAGGCTGAACACAGCAGCCGTTAGGGGAAAGGGATCCAAAGGCAGGCAGCAGAGTCAGAGACAGCCCCTGTTCCAGTTGTTAGGGGTCCCACATAAAGAACAAGCTGCACATCTGCTATATATATATAGGGGCCTGTGTCCATCCCGTGCATGCTCTCTGATTGGTGATTTAGTCTCTGTTAGCCACTACAGACCCAGATTAGTTGATTCTGTGGGTTTTCTTATGGTGTCCCTGACTTCTCTGGCTCCTTCAGTCCTTCCCCCTCTCTTCCACAAGGTTCCCTAAGCTCCTCCTAATGTTTGTCTGTGGGTCTCTGCATCTGTTCCCAATAGTTGCTGGGTGAAGCCTCTCAGAGGACAGTTGTGTTAGGCTCATGTCTGCAGGTATAGCAGAATATGACTAATAGTGTCGGGGTAGGCCCTCTCTCAAAGAATGTGTATAAAGCTAGTTCATGAAGGTTTGGAGGGAGCCATCAGGGAATTAATTTGATCCTTGCCTACCCTTGTTAGAAATTTCTCTTTGACATTTATTTCTGAAAAGTCCACACTTTTTATTTCCTCATATCTCTGCTTTCATTTCTGATTTTGGTATACCTGAATTTTCTCTCTTGTTAAACATTTGTCTATTTGATCTCTTTAGGGAAGCTTTTTTAGTAGTAGATAGCCTAGATCTCACTCATATTCGAATTTTTCTTTTATTTTCAATTTGTTAAACAGGTCATGTATGTTTGTGCACACTTTTTCAGGGTATCATGTGTACTGACAGTATACAAAGCCCCTGTGAACAGGGGTGTCTTCAGATTCCTTTGTTGCCATTTATTATCTGTATGCCCATCAGTGTAAGTCAGTAATACTAATTCTAGTACTTGTTGGTCTGTTTACATGTAATGATATAATTTTGGAGAACCTTAGGATTTTTTCTTTAAAGCCAGGCATAGTGGTACATGCCATTAACCTCAGTCTGCTGGAGCATGCAATGCTGTCTCAACAGCATTTTACAACAGCTTCCTTCAAAACTGTAGTCAAGGCTCTCGTTCCTTGCTGCTGCTCTGTGTCTTCAACAACAGGGTTTATCAGGAAACCCGAAGGAGCAATTCCTCAGCTTTAAAGTGTGACCGGACTCTTCAGCATCATCTGCTTCTCTTCAGCTCCCCTGCTAGACCTGTGGTGACACCCTCTGCTCATGTCTTGAGGCTCTCAGGTACTGCTATATCTGACTGCTGTAACCCACATCCTTAATGACATCCAGAACAGCAAATTCTTCCAGCTGACATCATACTCCAGATGCATCAGAGAAACCAGTAAGACGTGGGAATCAAAACAGTACTTGACCCTGGCCCACAGGAGGATCTATCAGCAGGCACATGGAATGAACCAAAGGACAACACGGCTGTTGCATGCCTTCCCTGAAGCCCTTGTATGAGCGGGTGCACTGTCAGTGGGCATTAACATTGATTGAAAGTGCTCATTTTTTCTGAGTGGTAGGTCTGCATGGTGAGCTTAAACTACCTTGCTGTAAACAAATGTGCTGTCTAGGCCTCATTCCTTTTACTCATTACAAAGAGGCCCTCGAGTTTTTAGGTTAACTGAGCAATGGGTTAAACCTAAGTCACTAGCCAGGTTTTTTTTAAAACTAGAGTTAGTCTGTCTTTTGAGGGCACTGCTGACTTTTCTTCTGCTATGAAACACCAAGGCTATATCTTTTTCTTTATATGAATGTTTTGCATGTATCTGTGTACTGGATGTCCACGGGGGCAAGAAGAGGCTGTCAGATGCCCTGAGATTTAGAATCACAGCCAGTTGTGGATGCTGCGAATTGAACCCCACAACTCTGGAAGAGCAGCCAGTGCTCTTGACTGGAGGCATCTCTCCAGTCCTTAAGGCTCTTTCGTGTACATAAAGGCATGCTTAGCTGGGCATGGTAGTGAATGTCTATCCCAGAAATGGGGAGGTGGGAGGTAGGAAGGTTAGCACTTTAGGGCCATCCTTGGCTACATGAAACCTCATCTCAAACAGATGTGCTGTGTGATTTGCCCTCCTGACTATTCACAATAGATCTCTGCGCTGTGCACAGCAGGCCTTCTGTCTCACCTCATGCTCTCTGGAGTTGGCCATTTTTGTATAACGTCACAAAAACTGTACTAGCGTCTGTAGCTTCCTCCTTGGAATTACGGGAGTTAGGGCCTAGTCTATACTGGGCTTTGACTTGGTATGGCTGGTTTGAGGCTCTTGTGTTTGCCTCCCATTTCTGTGTTCAACCGAATTAGCACTTCTAACATCCAAGCATCTTTCCTGTGCACTTAAAGCATAAGTGTTTGGAATGAACCTTCTCACCAAATGTAAATATTTCTACCTACCTGATGGTTTAAAGCGTGAGACATGCGACTCTTCCTTTCGCTTGAACTAAAGGCCACTACGGACTATCTTAAAGTCCATACTATTTGCAGGGGACAGTGAGGCCCAGGGAGACTCTCACAGAGATGGGGACTAGCTGGTCTGTTGGTGGGGCCACCCGAACAGACTGATCACCTAAGTGTTAGCTAAGTGAACATGGTTTGTGGTACCTAAAACAACTACAATAGCAATACTAAAGATGACAGATAGCATCACAGACAACAAGTGCAGTCTGAAATTGTGGTGGTTTGAATGAGAAATTCTCCCAAAGGCTCATGTTTGAATACTTGACTTCCAGTTGGCAGAACCGTGAGGGAAAGATTAGATATGGACTTGTAGGTGTGTCTCTTTGGGTGGGCTTTTAGCTTTCAAAAGACTTGTGCCCTTCCCAGTATTTCTTTACTGCCTAAAGAAAATCATGTGAATTAACTTTTATATTTCTATAAACTGCTACAGTGCAAAGCTGAACACAGTTATGGGGAACACAGTGGGGAAATGGAGACAAGGCTGCATCTAAGGTGACTATACTCATTAGATCCACACTCCTATACTCTTTCACTGTTTTCCCTACATGCTGCTGAATGCAGAGCTGGGAAGGTCTGCGCTATGGTTGTCAGAGAAGTAGCTCCTGTGGACAGAGAAGTCTTAAGTGTTTTTATTTTTCCCCCCAGTAGCTCATGGCTATGAGACTTCCTGGACTGCCCTTCTTACTGCCACCACCAGTCTCGACTTGCTTTGGCAAAAGAACTCCAATTTTATCCTGAAGAAATATATGCTGAACCCAGGATGACTTCTTTTTCTTACAGGTAAGATTAGAGTTAATCCGAGACTGACTGTTTTCTTGTCCTCTAAGCCAAACTCTGTTGTCCTGCCAATGCCACCTTTTATTAAAATGGAATTTGAGAGTGAGCCAAACATAGCTGCAAGTTTCAACCAAAGAAGGGTGAGAGCAGAAAGGACAATTAAGTTCTTAGGGCTTAATAAGTTGGGATTCTTCATCTATTTAAAATCAGTGAAAACACTTCCACTCTCTCCAACTCTGGCACCTGAATCTGCTATCTGATGGCTTCTACTACACCATTTAAGTTAGTGCCCATCAAACAAAACATATTTATGAAACTAATTTTCTTTTTAGAATCAATTCTGTCAGAGACCAAATAAATAAATAATTCACAGTTAATTGTGAAAATTCCTTTACTATTTATTTTTGTGTCAGCATGACTGTTTAAAAAGCAAACAGTACTAGTGGCCACTCTGGTAAAATTACATCCTTTGGACGGGTTTTATGCCCAGTATATCAAACCCCTTGGCCATGACAGCAGCTACTGCTTCACACAAGAGCATCCGCCACATGTTCACCTTCAAAACTTTCCCTGGAAGGGAAAAAAAAAAGAAAAAAAAGAAAAAAAAAAAAAAAAAAGACATTAACTCGCCATAAATAAATTTTTCTGAAAAGTACGCAGCCCAACCTATAGCCATTTTTGGGCCTACCTAGGGTTGTTTACATGAAACCTGCAAGTAGAATGTTTACATTTTCCCACAGAATTTGCAGCACTTTCCTAACCCACCCCAAGGACGGTTTCTGTTCTCAGGCTTGCCTTGTTAACATAAAGACATCAGCCATAGTGGGTGTTTCCATGTCAGCAACACGCACATACCTTGCTTGTACTCAAATGTCCTACTCCAATGGCTTCTCACTCATTTCCTACGGTACTGCCCAAAGGTGGAGAAGCAGAAGCAACAGGCAGATTCTGTTTCTGCTTTGACCGGCCTCATTTCAAACTGTCACATATACACCACAGCTTGCTTACACCCTTTCCCCAAGATTGACAGTGGACAGGACACTTACCAGTCTGTCGATCTTTCTCCACACAGTAACAGCTATCATAGAACTCTGTGAAAGTAGTTGCTAGCTCATAAATATAATCGCACAGAGTGTGGAGAAATAAGTCATCTAACATCTTCTGTAAAATCTCAGGGAATCGTAAAATGCACCGGCCTAGTTTCCATTCTTTTTCATGGTCCAAAACTATCTTGGTTTCTCGAGCAGCTTTCTGCAGCATCTCTTCATCAATATTGGCCAGGCGAGAAATAGACCTGAAATATCAGGTAAGCACCCTTCAGTCAGGCACACCCTCTTTTCACACAAAAGCACATAATCTAGTATGACTGATCAGAAAACATCAGCAATTAAAACAAAATGGCATCCCAGTGTGGTAGAGACGACCTGTAATGCCAGCACTTGGGTGACAGTGGATCACAAGTCAGAAGCTAGCTTGGGACACACGAACTCATGCATGCGGCTCAAAAACTGAAGAGATTCTTACCATGCCTCATAAAACCAAAACCAAAACAATAAAAACACCATTTTGGAACCATTACTTGATTGCAAACTAAGAGTGTGAGTAGTTACCTGATTCTAGTGAAGGCATACAGTAAGTAAGCAGCTGTGTTTCCTCTGTCATCCAGCATCTTGTCAAAGGAGAAGATGTAGTCATTGAGGCGATTATGGGAAAGGTCAGCATATTTGATGCAGCCATATGCAACGGACATCTGAGCGGCTTTCAATTCCTCTTCAGTTAGGACCTTTGGGAAAATGAACACGAGAGCTTGCTCCCTCATGTTTCTGCCCCAGTGCCTCACAAGAAGGAGACTGAGTAGGCAGCATCTATGGAGTCCCTATCAATTAGCAGTGAACGTGAGGCCGAATGACATGGCCACTGTACAAAGAAAATAACGAAGGTAAACTCATTAGCTCTCATGTTGAGGACTATTTCTTTAGTTGATTTAGAACATTAGCTTATTTTCCAATATATTCAGGAACTATGAAACACAACGCTGATTTCTATCTACCTTCATGCTATTTTAGGGGTGGAAGACGGTATATTTCTTAAGAATACGCGGGAGGACTGCTGCCTGTTCCAGGCCGGCTAGAAAGTGAGGCCCTGTCTAAAAAACAACATGAAAACCCCAAAGTATTTTCAGGTCTGACTACAATAATCAACTGTGATCTGTTGGATAAACAGATCATCAAAATTGGGAGAATAAAAATGGAGTAAGTCTACAAAAAAAAAAAAAAAAAAAAAAAAGGGAGTAAGTCTACAAAAATCAAGCCAGAACTGACGTGGAATCTTCCTTTCCACATTGAGGGAGCCAGAATAGCTGATGCAGCCAGATGGGGTTGAATTGCATCAAGTTACCTTCTAAATACTGGTTTATGCCCATAGATTAGTGTTGTTGGCTTTGGTCAGAAAAGCTTCTTTTCAAAGTCTGGCAGTTACTGCAGACACTTATGTTCAGTCCTAAACAGGACACATGTTGCCCTTTGCAAGGCCCAGGGAAAGGGTGGAAAGGCTTACAAGGCCCCACCCCCTCCCAAGAGCTATAGGCAGTTAATGGTTGCTGGGAGAAGGGAGTACTTTCTTCAGTGGAGCAGCCACTGCTACCTTGCTCATGCTCCTAGCAAGTAACCCTGACTCACTGATTCATCCTCCCACCACAGATGAATCAAGGTAATTTTAGACTTAAAATGCTTCCTATCTACAAACAAAACAAAATAGCAAACAATAACTGTTTTCAAGGGGTGTGGTAGGTGGGGGCTGGAGACAGCAGCACTCTGACTTATGTGAGGCCCTAGGGTCCAACCAACTGCCAGTTGGTTGACTACAGGCTTTTTGTTTGTTTGTGGTTTTGTAGACAGGGTTTCTCTGTGTAGCCTTGGCTGTCCTGGACTTGCTTTGTAGATCAGGCTGGCCTCAAACTCAGAGATCCATCTGCCTCTGCCTCCGCTTCTCCCAGTGCTGGGATTACAGGCGTGTGTCACCATTGCCCACAAGAGTCTTTTTTAAAACCTAGCTAGCAGTACAGGGACTATCATACCCAACAATTTAGATTTTAAAGCTTTAGTCATCTCAACACATGACCCTGACTTTGGATTTAACTGTTATCACAAGCTGATAAGTCTGTTAAAGTATGTTTTTCTAATCTTGTGACAATCTTTAAACTAAAATCTTAAGATCACTGCATACAGGCTGCATGTTGGGGCTCTGGTAAGATCCCCTAAGGAATTCTATTCAGGCTGGCTTACAGATAAATAAGCATGCAGATACTCTGGAAACTATTACAGTCATTAACACAAATGCTTACTGGACTTCATGTATTTAAATAAATGATATGTTGGTTTTAAGTTAGTTGATCACATAACAGGTTGCCTGGGGTCCCTGGCCAGGAAGGTTTACATTTATTTCTGTTAGATTTATTTAAGACCATGAAATTATAAGTTTTCCCTACTATGCAGATGACAGTGTAATGCTATGCTCATCTATTACTTTTCATAATTAAGAGATGCAAAGTAACTTCTAGCATGTTTTATTTTACAAGAAAATAACTTTAAATGATACCTATTCATAACCAATTGAAATATAATACCTAAAAATTAGGTGATATGCAAATTTGGTAACTGTTTAAACAAGTAACTTAATGGCTAAGGAAGCATCACAAAATTAAGGCCAGCCTGGCTGGCACAGCAAGTCAAATAAACACTCAAACAACCCAATTATAAGATAAGATAGCACACCAAACTGTAGCATATACTCTAAAAAAAAAAACTATTCTGTACAATTCGGATTACTTTCCCAGACAGGGTCTCAAGTCACCCAGGCTCACCTCAAAGAGTCATGTGATCTCGAACTCCTGATCCTCCTGCCTCCACAACTAAATGCTAGGTGGGACTGCAGGTAAGTGCCATGTAGTATTGGGGATCACACCCAGGGCTCCACTCATGCTAGACAAGCAATCTATTGACAGAGCCACATCCCAAGGGTATTCTTTAAACAGTGTTTCTAAGGAAGGAATGAACACCAGGTGGGAAGGAGCCAGTGTCAGAAAGCATTTTATGTGGTAGAAAGAAATTATCCTTAAGTTGACCTGATAGTCTGGCAATATGAAGAAAGAAACAGGATGAAACCAAAAGCTCCAGCAAGCTATAGAAAGGACCTAAACAAATTGGACAAGGTATGGAAAGGATGTACTGCCCCATTCCATTTTTTGAGACAGGGTCTTGCTATGTAGTCCTGGTTGGTTGGAACTCAATATGCCAACCAGGCTGATTTTGAATTTCTGCAGTCCTCTTGCCCCTGCTTCCCATAATTATAGGCACTATGACTGATCTTAAGAAAATCTATGATCAACAATAGCTGAAATGGTGGTAGGTTTTTTATAAAACACAAACATTAATATATTGATGCAGAACCTGAATCTAATTCTGCTTAAAAAGCAGTGACCTTTTCTTTAAATACTGGTCTTTTTTTTTTTTGGGGGGGGGGGAGGAAGGAAGATTCTCTGTGTAACAGCCCTAGCTGTTCTGGAATTTACTCTTTGACCAGGCTGGCCTCAAAGTTACAGAGTTTTAAAGGCAAATACCACCAATGTCCAGCTAACTACTAGCCTTTTAAATTCTAAAAATATTTTCTGTTTTTGAGACAGGGTCATCCTACGTAGCTCAGGTTCTCCTGCCTCAGATTCCTTAATGTTAGAAGTACAAGTGTAGACTGCATGCCCAGCTTGAAATGTTCTTTAATAAAATTTAACTCTACTGCAAAGTACAGGCTTTCCGTTTGTGCTTAACTGCTCTCTGAGAAGAGCCTTCTTCCCTATTGCAGTTCTAGCTGGTTCCCTTTGTACGACGATATTCACTCAGCATCTTGAACACATCAACCACAAGCTGGAGCCTGAGTTATCCCATGGCTCTTCTTTTCATAAGGAAAGGAGGCACACCTCTTTACCTCGGGCCAAGTGTCCTAGCGTACACATACTGCCACCGTTGCCCATATAATCTCTTGTATTTGTGGTGCCTTTATTTGGTTCTAATTACTTAGCAAAACTTGAAAGGTTTAGAAGGCAAAATATTTTAAGACTAAAATATTTCGATTACTTCTAACTCTAATAGATAACATTACTTCTCAATAGTCTATGATCAGATTTTGACCGAGTCTTTTAAATCTTTATGGTAAGCCTCTCTGGAATAAAAGTTCAATATGAACTCTACATGTCTTTCATATTTTCCAGTTGGGTTCCTAAAGATTCTGAAAGGTGGGCCTTTCATCTTGTACAGATAAGAGCCCAATGAAGTTGATATGCTGGATATGGAAAACGCTGACAAGGTAAGGCCATAATTTTGCTTGGGTCAGGATGGCCTAGAACGCTTCTACCTGCCCTGCCCTTATGTGCTAGGCTTAAAGGCTTAGCCTGGCCAGGGTTTTGCACTCTATACTCTTTAAGTAACATTTACATACATGTTACTGATGTGTCTTTTAAGTCTTAGCTTGTGTGTTTTTTGAAGCAGTGTTTTTCTGTGTAGAGCTGGCTGTCCTGGAACTCAGAGATCTGCCTGTCTCTGCCTCCCGAGTGCTGGGATTAAAGGCATGAGCCTGGCTTTAAGTCTTATCTTAAAATGCAATAAAAATAACTGAACTTCCTCATTCATTGCTGAACTCTCATCAAAATTTGAACCATGGCTTCTTTAAGTCTATGTTTCTGATAATTTCTCAATCAACGAGTAAATCTGCAGACCTTGTAGCTTCTTTAAACTACCCATAGTCAATAGCAATTTGGTATATTCTTCCCAAATTAAAAACCTATAGGAATGCAGTTCATTTGGTAGAATGCTTGCTTAGCATGCACAAGGCCCTGGGTTTTCATCCCAGCACTGCATAAAGCAGGAGTGGCGGCATGACTGTAATCTCAACACCCAGGATCTGCAGGCAGGAGCTATCTTAACATAGCTTGCTTGTTTGTTTAGATGTGGTCTTAATATATACATAAGCTAGGCTGACCTGAAATCTGTCTTTTCATGTCAGGCTCCTGAGCAGCGCTGGGATTATGGGTCTATGCTACCATGCCCAACAGGATACTTTGCTAAAAATGGTAATACTATTTTGTTTATTTGAGACTGTTTTCTCTGTTTATATCCCTTGCTCTTCTCGAACTCACTCTGTAGACCGGCTGGCGTCAACATAGGTTTGCCTCTGCCTCCTCAGTGCTAGAATTAAAGCCACTGCCTGGTGGTAACACACTGAGTAAGATCCTGCTTTCTTTAACTCTATACTCATAAGCTGGGAAGGAGAATCCCCTGAGTTCACAGCTAGCTTGGGCTACAGAGTAAGCTACTGCCTCAGAAGACAGACTATATTTGCCTGGCTTCTAGGGTCCCAGCTTTACAGTGACACCATTTGCAAGAATGATTACGTAAGGGTCACTTTTCTGTTACACCAACATAAACAATAAAATGCAATTAAAATTCATTTCACAAGTTGGCTTTTCTTAAGAAAAACTATAGTTGTGGATGATGGGTCATACCTGTAATCTTAAAAAGTTCAAAGCCAGACTAGGTTACAGTGAGACTCTATCCCACCCTCCCCCAGCAAACCCTGAAATGTACTAATATTTCTGCCTCCTGAGCACTGGGATTAGAGGTGTATATACCACACCTGCTTTTGCTTACTGTTTTTGAAGGTTTTAAATTATCTACTTGTACCACATCCTAAATTCTTTGTGTTAAGTCTCACAAAAACAGTAAAAACAACAATAAAGGTCTAAGTTAGACAACATGAGGAAAACTTAGAGGGTCAAGTCTCAAGTCAACTTGTATGTAATACAAAACATTCACCAAAACAGTAAGATGCCAGACTCATGACAGAACTTGTATCTGGGGAGCAAGAACCTTCTACCGGGTGAAGCTGTGAGTGATCCTACATATGCAAACACTGCTAGCTAACAGAATGTCCAAACGCATGGAACGCACTGAAGAGCTGCCTGGAGTCTGCCCCGCAGCTTTACCTTCACACCAACACTCAAGAGCCCTGTACCTTCTTGTTGCAGAACCACCAACAGAATGCACATTTTACAGGTGCCTAACCCTTAGCATGTACCTATAGGTAAGAACCTAACTGAAAGCAAGAAAAACAGCACTTCACATACATATGACACCTGTAGAAACATTTTAGAATACCTACAAAGTGGGAGATTATTAGTTCAGGGTTAGCCTCAGATACAGTGAGTTAACAAAATACAAAGGCAAAAGACCTTCACCGGGATATAAGCTTGCCTACCATACACAAAAACTATGACACCGCAATGAAGGAAACCAAGAGACACTGCATGTTTATGGATTATGAAAATCAGTATTATCAAAAGCCCACTGTAGAGGCTGGAGAGATGACTCAGAGGTTAAGAATACTCGCTGTTCTTCCAAAGGTCCTGAGTTCAATTCCTCACAACCACATGGTAGCTCATAACCATCTATAGTAAGATCTGGTGTGCAGGCAGAATGTTGTATAAATAATAAATAAATCTTAAAAAACAAAACAAAAAAGCCAGCACCGGGAAACAGACTGAACACTGCGCTTAAGATCAGGCAGGGCTAACGGGAAACCCTACTGCAAAAGCTCACCAAGTCCACACTGCCCAAAACAATCTATGAGAGTAGAGCGACGCAGTGGAGACAGGGTCTGAAAACTGAGTAAAAGCGAACAGTTTTAGGGAGTAACTGACCATACACTAGATATCTCAGAAAGCTAGAAGGGATCTCGAGTGCTTTTCCCATAAACCAACAACAATGAGATGCTTAACTTACACAATTTATATGTAGCGTAAGAATGCTACATATAGGCATGGTGGTACACACCTATAATCCCAGCAGGCACATCAGGAGCTGAAGGCAAGCCTTGGCTGTACAGGGAGTTTAAGACCTTCCTGGACTACATAAGAGCCCAACCAAGTCTCACAACAAGTCACATGGCTATTTCACTTCCATAAAGTACAATTTCTACATGTTATGTATATTGTTAATGCCACATTAACAAAGGGGAAAACGTACAGCCTTTTGTAATACCCAGGAACACGGCTAATGGAAAGTTGCCCACCCTATGTGCACTGACTCCAAACTATATCTCATGACATCAGTATGGTTGTGTCCTACCTTGTCTCTCTCTTTCTCCTTTAACTTGTCCATGGATCGTTTTAGTCCTTCTTCCAGCAGGTCTACAAGGCGCACAGTTTCACCTGAACGTGTTTTAAACTTCTTCCTGAAAGAAGTTTAAAGGCTCATAAAAAATTCTGAATTAGACTTGAGTGTAAAAATCCTTGAAAATGAAGATTAGCTCTCAACTCAAAGCATCCTGTCTCTTTTCCCCCAAGGGGAGACTCTATCCTCACTATACTTTAGTAGTGAAATAATTAAAAAAAAAAAAAAAATTCATCTGTAGGGTTGAAGAGATGGCTCAGCATTGAAGAAAACTTGCTGCTCTTCCAGAGAACCCGGGGTTTAGTCCCGAGCACTCATGCTGGGCAGCTTAAGTCCCAGCAGAGCCTAATTCAGGACTTCATGGGTACTGCACACACATACCAATTAAAAATCTAACTAGCTCACTTTCTTGGAATATAAGATGCTCTTTAAATGTTCTGCCTTTTCAGAAAAATTGCTAAAACAAAACAAGCAAACAAAAAGCCCCAGCGCACTTGCTTCTACACTTAGCAGGCCAGCAGATTCTTTACTGGACTAATGTAATAAAATATTACCTGCTAAAAAAACAGCCACATTTAAAAAATTATGCCTCTGAGTTAGAATACTGAATATAAACACCCCACTCTATTTACCTTTGTGTTTCAAAGACTAAAGAGGATGGAGCGAAATGATTAGAAAACAGAAAAAGCAAAAGTATGGACATCATTAATTGTCAGCTTGATAAGCTTCATATTTTGAAACAAAAATTAAAGCAGCAAATCCTAAACTCAAATAGTATCTCAATGACTCACACTTGTTCAAGTCTGTAACCCGAAGGTAAAGGCTCTGACTATACTGCCAAGCATCCTGGGTGAAATTCGAGCATAGTCTAGATAGGAGACAGCAGAAACCCCTTTGTAATCTAACCTGTTGTGATGGCAGTCTAGTGTTCTTCCAGTGCCATACACAGTCCTTAAGAGGCTACACCCCCTGGGAGAGCTAAAGCATGGGAAACGTGGCTTGGCTGAGATTACAGTGTAGCAGAGAACTCTCACTAGGAGTGTCTCAATAATGAGAAGCTGAAGCATGTGGGGACCAGGTTCGTCATTTCCAGCTTTGAACTGTCCACTTACTTGTCTTCTCCTAGCACCACACCAAATCCAACATGGGCTACCCGAGTTACTTTCGGATCATACCAACCAATCATCTGAGCAGCAGCAAATATCGCCTGGAAATGTGTAGCCTATAAAGGGTAGGAACAGAAGGGTGCTTATTAGTTTACTTGTTACTTTTTTAGTTTCCAAAAAAAAGATGAAAGTCTTCTGTGCTCAGTGAGCACATGAAAATCTTGTTAGGCAAGCATTATTATAAAAGTTCTATTTCCCAGAAGCATCTTAGAAGAGGACAGGAACACAGATGGACGCCTGTGATCTCAGTGCTTCGGAGCTGGACAATCAGGAGCTGAAGGTCATATTCAGCTGTGTAGGCAGTGTTGAGGCCAGCCTATGCTCTATGTCTCCATGAGTAGTGGAGGGACTGAGGATACTTCAGTGTGAGAGCACTTGCCTACTGCTGTAGAACACAGGATCTGATACATAACAGAGGGGGGGAAAAGTGACAGAGTTTCTATTAACTCTTTAGTTTTCACCCAGAAAGGTGGGATTTTAGCAGTACACACCTGTAATCCCAGCACCTGGGGAGGCAGAGGCAGGTACATAGATCTCTGTGAGTTCGAGGCTAGCCTGGTCCACAAAATGAGTATAGGACAGCCAAGGCTACACAAAGAAACACTGTCTCAAACAAAAACAAAAACAGAAAGGTGGGATTTCAAGTTTGAGGCCAAATGAGCTACATGAGACCTTATCTCACAATAACTAAAGTCACATGGCTTTTGTAGTTCCATAAAGTACAATTTTTCTGTATGTTTATATATGTCAAAGTTAATTTAAATAAAATTATCTGCAATCAAGTTCTAGACAAACCTACAAACTTACTTGTCCATTGTCCACCACATAAATAATCTTATCTGCTTTTTCTTCAAATAGTCTCTGCTTGATAGCAGCTAGGTCAGATGTATCGTAAGTATAGCCCCCATCTGATTTCACTATGGTTAATGGTATGGAACATCCGGGCACAAACACAATTTTTCTGCCATCATCTACTTGTACAAATCCTAGCAATAAAGAAACAACAACAAAAACAAAACAAAACAAACTTTCATTAACAACTTTAAAAGTGCCCTCCCGGAACCAGGATGCTAGTTTGTTCTAAGGCGACATAGTACTTGGCCACTCTATGATTTTCTTTCTTTCTTCCTTTTTATCCTTCCTTTAGTACAATCAAATGTTGAGTCTGCCCAACCTCCAAGTCCTTACGTTGGAACCTAATCACCCTTTCCTTCTTTCCTTCCTTCCCTCCCCTTCCTTTCCCTTCTGTCCTTCCTTCCTTTTTGTTTTTCGAGACAAGAGTTTCTCTGTGCGTAGCCCTGGGTGTCTTGGAATTTACTCTATAGACCAGGCTGCCTCGAACTCACACTGATCCCCTGCCTCTGCCTCTCAAGTGCTGGGATTAAAGGCATGAACCACCATTGCCAGCTGACAATTTTATTAAAAAACAAAACAACAAAACACACACACACACACACACACACACGTATGTTGTGTGAGAAGATGTGGGTAGTCCATGTACTACACTGTGTGCAGGTCAGAGGATACCTTTAAGGAACTGGTATTCTCCTTGAGGTCCCAGGGACTGAACACCGGTCACCAGGCTTGGCAGCAAGTACATCCACCTGCAAAGCCTTCTCACTGCCCTTTGAGTATTTTAAAAGATGATTATTAAAGAAATCATATGACTATTCCCACATGATCTACTAGCAATTTTGGGAAATGGCCACTGTCAAGACTGACTTAATGGCACAAATATAATGGCCAACACCCCAATGGAAGCATCTTCTCAGCAGACAAAATATGAACATATATGCTTTGCTTTCTGGGTAGAACCACAACTTTCTTCTGGAAGAAAAATAAGGCCTCTCCCAATGTACTTAAAGCTCTGTTCATGTGCTAATATTAAAAAAGCCAAGTTGTTAGATCTAAGAAGAGATAGGAACAAATATTTTAAGTTATTTGATTTCTGTGTCACCCATAATATCAAATCCCAAATTTCATTTTCTTAGTTACTATGAAATAAATGCTGCCATACTGTCTTACAGTTTAGAAGAGTGAGATTCAACATAGTGGTTAAAACTACACCCTGTGAAGCAAGACTGCCTGTGATGAATGCCAGACTCACCGCCATTAGCCATGCCTCTTCTGTGCTTATTAGGGCTGGGGAAGAGCTCGGGATCAGGGATTTGCCAGCATACCTAAGACCCTCTGTTCAATCTTCAGTACCACAACCCCCAAACAAAACCCCATGAATACGGTTTATCTTTTAAGATTTATTTCTTCATTATGTATACAACGTTCTGTCTGCATGTGGATGTCAGAAAAGGGCACCAGATCTCATTATAGATGGTCGTGAGGCACCATGTGGTTGCTGGGAATTGAACTCATGATTTCTAGAAGAGTAGCCAGTGCCCTTAACCTCTTAGCCACCTCTCTAGCCCCCAGTTTCATTATCTTACAATCTCAAAAGCCTTCCTAGATGGGGCTGGAGAGATGGTTCAGAGGTTAAGAGCACTGCTTGCTCTTCCAGAGGTCATGAGTTCAATTCCCAGCAACCACATGGTGGCTCACAACCATCTAAAATGAAATCTAGTGCCCTCTTCTGGTGTTCAGATGTACATGCAGGCAGAACATTGTATTGTATACATAATGAAATAAATCAATCTTAAACTCCACTTCCACATTCAAAGAACCAGGCATGAGCGCTGAAGGGTGGCTCAGTGGTTATGAACACTTGCTGCTCTTTCAGAAGACTGACCTGGGTTCAGTTCCCATAGCCAGATTACAGATAGCTCACAGCTAACTGTAACTCCAGTTCCAGGAAATCTGATGCCCTCTTCTGACCTCCATGGGTACCAGGTATGTACATGATGTATACATACAAACACACACACGCACTGATGCATACAAAATAAAGACGTATAAATCTTTCTTGTTTCCTTTTTTTGGCAGGGTTTTTCTGTGTAGACTTGGCTATTCTGTAACTCTGGACCAGGGTTGCCTCAAATTCAGAGATTTGCCTGCCTCTACCTCCCAAGTGCATAAATTAATGGCACGGGCCACTATGCCAAGCAAGATATATAGATTTCTAAAGAAAAAGGATCATAAATCAATGTGGATTTGAGGTCACACTGGGCTATGCAGTGAAACCCTGTCACAAAACCCAAAATTATTGGACAAATTTCTGCAGAGGTCTAGGAGAAAACTGGAGGGGTGACAGCACACCACACTACCACAGGCCAGCACTGAGTGGAACAACAGGCCAAATCCACACTCATCAACAGCTACTGAATCTATCAAGGCAGAGTGCGATGGAGAGATTGATAACTGAGTCAGGTTCAATCAGTCTTAGTACCTAATCCCACTAACCAATCATAGCATCACAAAGAGCTAACCAGACATTGCTTGGAGTCTTGAAAATCAAAGCAAACCAAGTTAAATACATCCTTTAAAAAAAAAAAAAATACAGGCAAAGCCAGGCATTGTGGTTCATGCCTGTCATTGTAGACCTAGAAAGCTGAGGCAAGAGAATCATCCTAAATTTGAGGCCAGCTTGGAGTACAAAGTGAAACTGTCATTCCAATAGGCTAAGAATAAATTTGATAAGACAGGGGCTGGAGAGATGGCTCAGAGGTTAAGAGCACTTGCTGTTCTTCCAAAGGTCCTGAGTTCAATTCCCAGCAACCACATGGTGGCTCACAACCATCTATACTGTAATCTGGTACCTTCTTTCTGGCTTACAGGCACACATGCTTGCAGAATACTATATACTGTATAAATAATAAATAAATCTTTAAAAAAAATTTGATAAGACAAACAGCCTTCTTTAACAATAAAAGGCAATGGTAGAGCATGCCTTTAATCCCAGCACTTGGGAAGCAGAGGCAGGTAGATCTCTGTAAGGTTGAGGCTAGCCTGGTCTACAGAGTGAATTCTCTGTTATACAGAGAAACTTGGCCTCAAGAAAACAAATGTACAAAAACAACAACAATAACAACAACAACAAATAATAATAATAATAATAATAATAATAATAAATATATATCCAGGTATGGTAGGGCAATGCCTGTAATCCCAGTACTTTGGAGGCAAAAAGGGGAAGATTGCTACAAATTTGGGGACACTTGCCTATACAAGTGCCAGGTTTGCCAGAGTATCTTATAGATCAAGAAAAAAACTACACAGAAAAAGGAAGGAAACTATGTATTTACAGAACACAAACAAATATAAGACTCATACTATGAAAAGAAACCCTGTTGGCACAGACATCTCTAATGGGAACAGTGAAAGTCATAAAGCCAGCACAGCTGTTTCACAAAGATCCAGTAAAGCAGAGCTGAATGATTCAATCACTGTGGTGCAGTCTCCCACTTTTTGACCTTCAGCTCTATGTCTCACAAGCTAGGGTGGGGGCTTTTATTATTTGTACAACTTGGGGATACTGGATTGATGGAAATTTTCTTACAAATCACTTAGCCTTCTCTCAGGAGTACTGCTTCTAAGCTTTCCCAGGAAAGCTAACCCTTCCATTTTTAGAGGAGATATGCATATCTGGCCCTACATGAATGCCTGGACGTTGTGACTCAAATAAAGATGGCAGAGCTCTCCTTATGAGGCTCTGACTCAAAGATACTCTTGGCACATCTGCCACTGCACTTACTCAGGAACAAGATAATCAAAACAAAGTAAACTTAAAAGGTAAATAATATTCAGTAGGCTACAGAAGTTGGCAGCAGATCAAATTAAAAGCCTCTTCTTACTATTGATGGACAAAGAATGGTATGGGTAAATGATAAAAGAATAAAGTATTAAGACCTCCCTTTTCTTAGAAAAAGTTAACTCATACAGGGACGCTGTGGTGTTATATGACCAAGGAAGAGAAAAATACCAAGATCAGACATATAAACGAATTCTATGAATATATAAACATAAGCATTGTATTGTGGCAAAAATTGAATTAACTGTAGCAGCTTTGGTCTGAAGATTTTTCTTGGGCCTTAATGACAATTTTTAGCACTCTATTAAAACTTGGTAATATACTGCTTGGGACATACAATCTGCCCAGGCTGGCTTGGACATTTTCTTTCTGTCTAGTGCCCTTGAAACTGCAAGAACTACCAGCCTGAGAATGGGCTGTCATGCTTTGGTAAAACAGGGCCTTTGAAACACCAATATTGTTAAAAGTTGGGTTGTGGGGTTGATGAGAGAAAATGATTGTAAAAGATAAGTCTGCTCTGTCATGGTTTATCAATGATGACTAAACTTATGACCAAGCAGTTAAAACATATGTCTGGGGGGCTGGAGAGATGACTCAGAGGTTAAGAACACTGGCTGTCCTTCCCAAGGTCCTGAGTTCGATTCCCAGCAACCACATGGTGGCTCATACCATCTATACTGAGATCTAGTGCCTTCTTGTGGTTTGCAGGCAGAATGATGTACAAATAATAAATAAATAATTCTTTAAATAATTAAGAAACTTAACAGAACAAAACGATACGATCGGTCTATGTTTCGGAACAACAGTCATCTGTACATTGAGCTCTGATAAATAAAAGCACCTGACTACAAGTCAATCAGGCTGCAAAGCTCCTCCCAATCCCCGGGCGTGGCTCACTGCCCCCTCACTGCTCTTGCATCTACCCTTCTTCAGGCTCTGACCTCACCAGGGGATGGATCCTGGTACCCTGTACTTAAAAAAATTATGAAGCTGGACATTGTTCAAACACTTAAATCAGCATTCAGGAAGCTGAGGCAGGATAACAGTGAGTTCCAGGCCAGCTTGGCAATTCATACACAGAATCTATATTTGAATGAACAAATGAATGAGTAAAATGAATTCCACTGGGACATTTAATTATCTATTGAATGGCATTAAGACAATGCTGGAGCCCACAGGATAGCAGCGAAGTATTTACCTAGCATGTACAACATACAAGTCATTGGGTTCAATCAATATGGGGGGATTATTACCTAACATAATGTTTTACATTTGTCATCTCAGATGGGAAGGACAGGACAATTTCTGAGTGTTCAAGGTCATCTTGGTCTACAAATTTTATTCTAAGAAACCAGCCAGGCCTACACAGCAAGACCCTGTACCTATCACACTCTCACAGACACACAGAAATTAAAGAATATAACATTGATGGAATAATGATACTGCAGTTTTAGCATAGGAGTAGGTATGTGTTCTTTCAGGGACAGAGTGGTAGCTGAAATTATAGAAAAGTGTATGGACAGACCAAGGTTTATTTTAGATTTAATATTTATAAGTTTTGAAGTTGTGTGATGAGTTGTCTTCACAGTTAGTATAAATCCCATTTTCTCTATTTTCCTCTGTTTGTAAGTTTCAGTAACAATAAGAGTGTAATGCCTACCTTTATCTTCAAATTCCTTTACAATATCGTTCATCCTATCTTGATAGAAGGATTCTCCTCTCTCTATTAAAGTGATGTCCAATGCATCATAGATTTTACTAAACTCTGAAAATACCAAACATAGCAAATGGATAAACAACAAAAGGGGGAAAAAAACAACATACAGAAAACTTGTCATCTGAAACACAAAAATTAACTAATTACATTGAGCTGCACGATACAGAAAAAAAATATATAATCCCAGCACTCAGGAAACAGAGGCAGGCTGATCTCTGAGTTCAAGGCCAGTCTGGTTTACATAGTGAGTTCCAGGACAGCCGGGGCTATGCAAAAAGATCCTAGCTCAAAAAAAAAAAAAAAAAAAAAAAAAAAAAGATTTAATTTTCTTAGTTTGGTACCCCTGACTTGTTTCTTGCTTTTCAGAGACACAGTGTTTTCTATTTTCTAAGTGCAACAATTTAACACCTTAAGGGCTTGAGAGATGGCTTAGAGGTTGGGAGCACTGGCTGGTCTTCCAGAGGTCCTGAGTTCAATTCCCAGCAACCACATGGTGGCTCATAACCATCTACAATGTGATCTGGTGCCCTCTTTTGGGGTGCAGACACACATGCAGATAGAACATTATATCCATAGTAAATAAATCTTAAAACAAAACAAAAACCCTAACACCTTAAAACGAGGTTGCAAAGCAATCATTAATAATCTTTGCAAAAGACCTACTAGCTATTTTCACACACTTACCAGTGACCTTTAAATTAATTTTGTCAAACCAAATGTGGTGGAAAATGCCTGCAAATCTCAGCACACGAGAGGCAGAGGCACTGTGAATTCAAATCCAGCTGGGACACACAGCCCTTGTCTCAAAAACCAAAACCAAATCCGAGGCAGATGAAATGACTCAGCAGGTAACAGCGAGTTTCACCAAAGACTTGCTTTTGATCCTAGGAACCCATATAAAAACCTGATGTATGAGGGTGGAAAGATGGCTCAGCTAGGTTCAGTTCCCAGGACCATGTCAGTAGGACCTGTACCTCCAGTTCCAAGGGCTCCAACACCCTCCACTGGTCACTACAGCCATCAACACTAATGTGCACAAACACATGTATAGTTTAAAATAAATCTTATACTGGGAAGAGTGGTACATGCTTTTAGTCCCAGTACCCTGGAAGTAGAGGCAGATGGATCTCTGCGTGTCTGAGGTCAGCCTAGTCTCCACAGTAAATTCCTGCATGTGGTGGTATATATCTGTATGCTACACATGTATGTAGATATACACACCAGCATGCTAAAATGAGATTAAAGAATTATGGGCTGAACAGCCTGAAGAACATCATAAGCCTGGCAGAAACAAAAGATCCTGCTTGAAATGAGGTCTGAGACTCCCCAGAGGTGCCCTCGTCCTCTGGTCGCTACGTGCATTGTATGCGGCATAGCAAAGTATATGGGAGGTTTGAAGAAAAAGGCAAGAGAAACAAAAACACAAAATCACCCTAATTACAAAATCACAGTATTAATCCTGAATATAAACTCAAGCTAGCTGAATGGAACCTAGAAACTCACCTTCACGGGAGACGTCACAGATGAGCTTCCAGGCTTTTATGATATCTGGGTTTTTACTCTGCAGCAAAACAACACACTGATAGGCTCGCTTCTTAAATTCCTCCTCAGCATCAAACCTCTTCTTAGACTCCTGTTTTAAAAATTGGTAAGATTAAATCCTGTAGTTTTAGATGAAGAATGTATTTATTTCTGTATATATGCACATGCCACAAGAAACAGACATTTGAGAATACCGTAAGTGCCCTACACCAAAGCCAGGAATACTGTACAAGTTCCTGAAAAGAAAAACAAAACCAGCAAACAAAATAGAGAGGAGCTGGATGTGGTGGTGCACATTTGCACCAAGAAGGTAGAGGCAGGTCAATCTCTTTGAATTCTAGATCAGTCTGGTCTATAAAGTGAGTTCCAGATCAGCTAGGAACACAGAAACACCCTATCTTTGAAACAAAGACCCCAAACCCATACCCAACCCAACCAATAAAAAACACATGCCCATTAGAGTTCAAGAGTTGGACATGGCTGAACCGAGGAGATAGCTCTCACTGGATAAAGTGCTGTCCTGAAAGCATGAGAACTGGAGTTTGATCTCTAGAATCCAGTCTTGACAGCCAGTGACAACATGTAATTCTGGCAGAGATGGGAGTCTCTGGGGAAGCTGGCTAGAGTAAATAGAACTGGTGAGCTCTGGGATCAGCAAGAGACCCCATCTCAACAGAGATCAAGGGAGACACCAGCTAGTAACTCAAGCCTACATGCACAGGGAGCTGACAGAACAGTCCCTGCTTATAATCTTAGCAGTTGAGATAGAAAAATGAGGATCTTGAGTTCAAGGTAAACTTCACCTACACAGTAGTTTAAAGCCAATCAGAACCCCATGAGGTCATTTCAACAAACAAAACAAGAATGGAATGAACACCAAAAACACCCGCATCAAAGCCATGGCTCTCAATTAAAGTGAATTGATATATAGCTCACTGTTAGTATGGTGGCCTGACCCAAGCCATAGGGGAGTAAAGAAAAAAAAAAAAAAAAAAATTGGCACAGATCAACACAAGCAGCCCAACAATTTAATTAAGTTATTTAATGATTTTTTTTTTCTTTTCCTTTTTCTGTTTTTTTTTTTTTTTTTTTGAGTCAGAGTCTCACTATGCTCTGGCTGTCCTGGAACTCATTCTGTGCACAAGGCTGGCCTCGAACTCAAAGATCCACCTGCCTCTGCTTCCCAAATGCTGGGATTAAAGGCTTGTGCCACCACCACCCAGCTTGAAATTATTTTTTCTTAAAAATACTAAACTCAGGTGAGCATGGTGACTCACGTAACTCTTAACATTCTGGAGGAAGTCAGAATGCCAAACTCCCAGGTCAGCCTGGTCTACAAACCAAAATCAAAACCTCTGGTGTTGGTAGCACATGCTTTCTCATTTCAGGGTATATTTCCTAGTGTTTCTTTGCAAATACATCTTTCAAGAAAAAGTGGGGCTAAGAAGATGGTGAAGGAGCTTGCTACCAAGCTAAAAAGTCTATCAGTTCAGTTCCCAGAATCCACATGGTAGAAGGAGATAACCGACTCCCACAGCTGTCTTCTGGCTTTCGCGGGTGCCACCGAATGTGTGCATTTCCTCTACTCTAGGCATACAAAATAAACAAACTTTAAGAAAAGGTCGGGCATGGTGGCACATACCCGTAATCCCAGGACTCAGGGAGGCAGAGGCAGGTGGATCTGTGAGTTTGAGGCCAGCCTGGTCTACAAAGTGAATTTCAGGACAGCCAAAGCTACATAGAGAAAGCCTGTCTTGAAGGGAAACAAACAATATCAACATAACCTGAAAAAAGTGATCTCATCACTGAAGCAGTAAATTTTATCAATGTACTGCAAAATCATGCTTATATTAAGCAAATCTGTTTCCTTATATCCAACAGCAATTCTAACATGATTATTTTTTAATTTTAGAGTTATTTTGCTGGTTTTCAAGTTTTTATTAGAAAACATCAAAACCAAATGTTTGCTTTTTAACCGAGTAATCTAATTCTTGGTTCATTTATCATAAGAAAAACAATTTTGAAAACACAAGCCTGTATGCACAATGCTGCTTTCCGGAAAACAGCCACAGAAATTTTATAGTACATGAATAAAAACTGTGGTACACCAATTCAACAGAACTCTGTTAAAAGTAGCCATATAACCCAGTCTCAAAAAAAACAACAACAAAAACAAAAAAAGCAAGCATAAAAGGAAACAGTAAAATGTTAAGTATGCACACTGCAGAATGTCTGTTAATTCATTTGTTTATCCTTTCTTTTTCCTTTCAAACCAGGCTGGGCTCACTCACTACCACAGCTGAGGCTGACTCTGAACTCTTGATCCTTCTGACTCACCTTCCCCGTACAGAGACTACAGGCATTTGCCTCCACACCCATGTGTATGTTTGTCTTTTAAAAACTGCTCTGGTGAGATGACACAGTGGGTCAAAGCACTTGATGCTGAGTTCAATGCCCAGAACCCAGAATAAGGACTGATTCTTGCAGGGTGCACAGACCTCTACACACATGCCATGATGCATGACTCACCTCCTAACACACACACATAATAAATAAATACCAGAACATTTAAAATGTCAATTTTAAAAACCAAATCACCAGGCTGGAGAGATGGCTTAGAGGTTAAGAGCACTGATTGCTCTTCCAGAGGTCTTGAGTTCAATTTCCAGCAACCAACCACATGATGGCTCATAACTATCTATAATGAGATCTGGTGTCCTCTTCTGGCCTGCAGGCAGAAAACTGCACATAATAAATAAATAAATAAAACCAAACCCACAAATCACCACCATCACTTATTTTTGGGCAGATGTGGTGGTTCAGGTATAAACCCAGCTCTTGAGAGATTGAAGCAGGAAAACTGCCATGAGTTTAATTAAGGGCAGCCTGAGAGACAGTGACTTCCAGGTCAGCCAAGCTACAAAGAGAGACTCCATTTCAGAAGAACCCAAACAAAACAATAAAAAAAAAAAAAAAAAAACTGTTCTCACCTATTTACAGTACAGTGTACAGCAGGTAATATGATAAAATTCAGTTTCTAACATATAGCAGTAAACAAGGCAAAGACATGTAAAAGGGTGGGGACAGCTATTTTTATGACCACACCCAAAAACAATGGATCCTAGGGTGGCCTGTTTCACACAATACAAGTAAGACGGATCCAGGAGTAAGAAGTAATTCATTTTTTCCCCCTTTTGGTTTTTTGTGACAGGCTTTCTCAGTGTAGACTTGGCTGTCCTGGAACTTGTACACCAGGCTGGCTTTCAACTAAGAGATCCACCTGCCTCTGTTTCCTAAGTGCTAGGAAGGCATGTGCCACCATGCCTGGCTAGAATTCAGTGTCTCAAGCAAGTGAACTTCGTGATTCAGTGTTTACTTTCACTCATACAATTCAGCATTTTCAAGGTATCCACTATATGTGGAAAACTTCTATACTTGTTGAGTAAAATCTGGTAAGCTTATGTCTTTTCTTTTAAAGATTGTATTAAACTATGTCTATGTATGTTCTTGTGTGTGGACTGTGCACCTGAGTGACGTTCCCTTGGAGGCCAGAAGAGGGCACCAGATCACTACACCCAGAGTTAGAAGCAACTCTGAACCACCTGTTGTGGGTAATAGGAACAGATCTCAGGTCCTCTGGAACAGCAGCAATACATGCTCCAAACCACTGAGCCATCTCTCCAGACCCATCTGGTAAGCAATTCACAATTTACCACCTTTCACTTTATTCTGTTTCAGTACACAGTAACTTCAAATATGGTTTTGTATTTTCTTTGGGAAATGGGTGGCAGACAAACAATAATACAACAATGGTGCCAAACCTTATAAAAGGCCTGAAGATCCCCAATAGGAGGTGAAACTGTCAGATAATCTGGAAATTTATCTTGTAGGTGAGCGATTAGCATGCCAAACTGGGTCCCCCAATCTCCTACATGGTTTAACCTAAGACCAATCAGAGAACAGGAATTAAAAAAATTGTAAAGATTAAATAAAAAGTATATTCCATTAGAAGCCATTAACACTTAAGTGCTAACCTACCATCTTCATAAGTTGTTTATGTAGCCGTTTCCTCAACCAGATTGCTCCCAGAAGCTTCGGGCTCTTACACTCATTCAATTCTATGTAACTAGTAGCAGACTGAATATGGCAAGAACTTAAGATTTACCAAATGAATAAATTGTATGTCATATAAAATGAATATATAATGTGCTATATAAAATGTACATATGTAAATGTGCTTGTAAAATGTATGTGTGTTTATCCTATATTATATGTCTAATATCCACTTATGAGTGAGTATATACCCTGTGTACCTAAAGAAAATAATCAGGAAGGAGGACTCTGGCTAAAATGCTCAATCCCCATTCAGAAAGGCAAAGAGGATGGACATCAGAAGAGGGAGAAAACAGGGAACAGGTCAGAAGCCTGCCACAGACGGCCTCTGAAAGGCTCAACCCTGCAGGGTATCAAAGCAAATGTTAAGACTTATGGCCAAACTTTGGGTAGAGTGCAGGGAATCTTAGGAAAGAAGGGGGAGATAGTAAGACCTGGAGAGGACAGGAGCTCCACCAGGAGAGCAACAGAAACAAAAAATCTGAGCACAGGGGTCTTTTCTGAGACTCATACTCCAACCAAGGACCACTCACGGAGATGGCCTGGAACCCCTGCAGAGATGTAGCCCACGGCAGTTCAGTGTCAAGTGGGTTACATAGTAATGGGAACAGGGACTGTCTCTGACATGAACTGATTGGCCTCCCTGAGGAGGGAGCAGCCTTACCAGGCCACAGAGGAAGACAATGCAGCCATTCCTGATGAGACCTGATAGACTAGGATAAGAAGGAAGGGGAGAAGGGCCTCCCCTATCAGGGGACTTGGGGAGGGACATGGGTGGAGAATGGGACGGAGGGTGGGATTGGGAGGGGAGAAGGGAGGGAGCTACAGGGGGGATACAAAGTGAATAAATTAAAATTCTAAAAAAAAGAAAAAGAAAAAATGTATGTGTGTTATACAGCTACCTAAGAACATTATGGCTGGGCCAGTGTTAGTCACTGCCATCAAGCCTGAAGACATGAGTTCTTCCCTGGAAAGAGACAACTAACTCTGTATATTGTTCTCTTACCTTTGAAAGCATCATTTCCCAATACAGAAATACATGTAACGAAAGAAAGAAGGAAGAAAATGTAATGTTCAATCAATTACTATAGGGGATTTAAGATAAATGGCTCCAAAATGCCAATGGGCAAAATCCTTCCTTCTCTGCCTTTAGCTAACACTGAGGAAGACAGCTTGTTCATCACTATGTTTTCTTTAGTTACCTAGCTGCCTCACTACCACCAGAACAATCTTTTGGAACACAGTGTTTCACTAGTTAAATTAAAATCCCAGTTTCAAGGGCCAGAGAGATGGCTCAGTGGTTAAGAGCACTGTCTGCTCTTCCAAAGGACCAGGGTTTGATTCCCAGCACCTCCATGGCAGCTCACAACTGTCTATGACTGCAGTTCCAAGGGACTGAATACCCTCACATCAAACAATATACATACAGTTAAATAAATTATTTAATAAGATAAAATAAAATATAATCCCAATTTCGTACCATGGCCTACAAAGCCCTACACATCCATTTCTTTCTTAAGGCCTGACTACTAGCTCTTTTTTTTTTTTTCTTTTTATCCCTCTGGAGACAGAGTTTCTCTGCCTTGGCCACCCTGGACTTCCTTTGAGGGACTAGGCTGGCCTGGATCTCAAAGGGATCTGCCTGCCTCTTAGTCTCTGAGTGCTGGGATTAAAAGTGTGCACTACCATACCTAGCTTTAGAAAGTAAGTTCTTGTTAGATATGAGGCACTCAAGATTATATCTGTGGAGGCTGGTTAGATGGCTCAGCAGTTAAGAGCACCCTCAGCTCTTGCAGAGGATCTGTCATTCCTAGAATGACAGTTCACAACTGCCTTTAACTACAGTTTCGGGTAGGTAGAATGCCTTTTGTTATCTTCTGGCCTCTGTGGGCACTGCACACACATACTAATAGTTGTTGTTGTTTTTGTTATTTCAAGACAGGGTCTCATGATGTAACTCTGCATATCCCTGACCTCACTTAGTAGACTAGGTAGGCCTCAAACTCAAACTTCCCTCTTAAAAAACAAAACAAAACAAAAAAAACCCACCAAAATAACAACAAAACCCAGCATCTGTGGAATGAATAGAGATGTATCCTTGGTTCCACTAGAAGTCTACAAAAGGGATGTAAAAAATTTCAGATGTGGGGTGGGGACCAGGATATAATAAATAAGATTTATTTTTATTTATGTGTACAGGTTATAATTGTGGGTTTGTGCACATGCACACAGAACCTGTAGAGAACAGCAAAGAACATTGGATCCCTTGGAGGAGTTGTTAAATGTAACTGTGAGCCACATGGGGTGGGTCTTAGGAATTGAACTTGTATCCTCAGCAAGAGCAGTGGTGCTTTAACCCCACAGCCATCTTCTCAGTCCCTAGGATATATTTTTAAAAGCTTACTGAGAGACTACAAAACTGAACTGAGCTTTTGGGCCAGGGTGTTAAAGATATTTCAAAACTGAGATTTTTCACTTTTTATAGAAATTTCCAACAAAAGCAAGAGAACACACCTTAGCACATCATATCCTGCGAACTCAAAGAGGCGGCTCATACTTTCTCCTATGATAGTTGACCGGAGGTGGCCAACATGCATCTCTTTAGCTATGTTGGGAGAGGAAAAGTCAACGATAACCTAAAACAGAAAAAGATGTTTAAAAGGGACCACATATATTTTATCATGCTAACACTTAGCCTAAGGAATGAAATTTAATAATTGTAAAACATACCAGAAATCTACTTTGCAGTTACATTAACGATCTCAGAGTAAAGTAAGGGTCACTCCCAAAGTTAGCATTTGCAATGCAGGTCTAAAGTACTAAAGTATTAGTAGAGGACTGTACTCATACCTTTTGTTTTTCTCCAAGAGCAGGTAGTTGAACTCCATTTACTAGGAGATTGGTCAACTGTTCTGACACAAAATCTTTTCTCAAGTGCACGTTAATGAAACCTAAAAGAGTGTAGTAAAAACTGATCAGGCTCCCATTTTGGATGACTGTTTACTTTAAAGGATTTTCTCCATTTCATTTATGCTGGTTCCAGAAAGTGTGGTATAGCCATGGCAAAACTCTTGAGGACTCTAACATCTAACATTGACTGATACCATTACTCATGTCCTTCTGAAAACACCTGCTTTAGCATCTTTTTCAAATGGTCACCTGCCCTGAAAACCTGCTGCTTACTCCAGCCCTTCCACTTTCACAGAAGGCCCTTCTGTTGCAGGATTAACTATTACCTAGTTTCTTTCTGAAGAAAATCGGAATCAGTGGAAAGCAAAGGAAGCCACTGAAGGACAGGCTGCCAAACGGTAATTCCTAACTTACTGTCCAGGTTATTCTTAAGAACTTGGCTCACCAAAGTTCTCAGGGTGGGCTGGGAGGCTGTCTTGGCTTGAACCTGGGTCTTCCCCCATGCTCAGGCCAGCTCTCTACCAATGAGCTACACCTCTAACCCCATTTCCAATTTTATTTTGAGATAGATGCTCACTAAATGTCCGGTCTGCTCTGCACATACCATGATGCCTCTGGAGTAGATGGCATCAGTCATGTGCCACCATGTTCTGCAACACTTTTTTTTAAAAATTAATGTTGGTAGCCAAGCTAGGATAAAGCTCAAAGATCTTATTACACATGTCAGGAAATCTCTTTACCACTGAGTTACACCCCCAGACCCAGAATTTATATTTTAGCTCTTTTTAAATCTCAAAAAGTAGCCAGGTGACGGTGCTGGCGGTGGCAGTGGTCACATGCCATTAATCCCAGCACTCAGGGAGGCAGAGGCAGGCAGATCTCTGTGAGTTCAAGACCAGCCTGGTCTACAAAGCAAGTTTCAGGATAGCCAAGACTACACAGAGAAACTCTTGTCTCAAAAACCAAGGGGGGGGGGGGGGATCTCAAAAAGCGCTCATCATCAATATTAAGACAGACAAGGTATCATACCAGGACCGGCAATTTCAACTTTGTCAATATATTCATTGTTTGGCAGGTGTTTGGTAATGTTTTCAGCAATTTCTCTAGGATTAACTTTCTGATTCTTCGCTTTGAGCATCTACAATACAATGTGAAACAATTCATTAGCACTAGGTAGCAAGTTCCCAGAGAATGTGTTGCTGACAAAGCAGGAACTGCATTTTTAAAACTCTGATAAGAAGCAAAAGACCTCTACTGTAAATGGGTAAGTCAAAGTGTCATTAATGCCAAGAGGGACCAAAAGATGGTAAAGCCACACATCTGTATTAAACCAGATCCCCCAGGCCCCACCTCTTAAAGAACAGAACAAAGCCTGCTGCTACAAAGCCCAAGGCTGCACATTCACATTCTTAATTCCAAGTCATGAAGCTGTACACTATTCATATTTTGGGCGGGGGATGTAGCTGAGTAGTTGTGACTCCCTGGTTTGGAACCAAAACCCAAAAAAACAATAAAACAAAGGCCATCAAAAAAACAAAAGCCAATAAAAACCTCACAGCATTACAGAAATACATCTGCTTAAAAGAAAACCTTTCCTAATCAACATAGAAAGTAGGAAACAGATACAGGCGGTGTGCAGTCAGATAATGTAACTATTGAAAGTAAGTAACTTCTCAGCTTAAAAACAAAATATAGCCATGAGAATGTCACATGCCAATCCCAGCACTTGGAGGCTGAGGAAGGACACCTGGTGACACAGACTGTGTCTCAAACAAATACAGAAAAGGAAAAAGGCGGTGCATGCCCTTAATCCCAGCGCTTTGGAGGCAGAGGAAAGTGGATCTCTGAGTCTGAGGCCAGCCTGGTTTAGAGGGCATTCCAGGACAGCCAGGTCTACACAGAGAAACCCTGTCTCAAAAAACCAAAACCAAATCAAACAGAGACAGAGAGAGAAAGGCAGAGAAAGAACACACTAGAAAGTCTGCTCCAAAAACATCCTAGCTGTAACAAATAATTGGTGGTGGTAATAGTTAGAAATTTGCCTCTTAAAAAAAAAAAAAAAAAAAAAAAAAAAAAAAAAAAGACAGGGTCATCTGTGTTAACCCAGGCCGCTCTTCACTTGTGGCAATTCTCCTGCCCCAGTCCCCAGGCATGTCAGCATGACTGGCAATAATTTGTTGACTTTTAATTTCACTTTCCAAATGTCATTAAGTACATACACCAATCCAGAACCCAGCAAGAAGTACCAAGACAAAACAATGTAACTACTGTTCTCACTGAGCCACACCCTAACTCCATGTGGCAAGTGGCCCCTTTCTTAAAGACACAAAATTTTGCTGTTATTTATGTTCACAGGTGTGATGACAATGTGTAAGAGAATCAAGTCAACCAGGGCCAGTCATAAGGATACACCACCTGAGAAATACCCATTGCACTATTACATTGATAGTCTCCGAACTTGGGCTGCTGACTCGGTGTTACGACCAGAGGAGGACTGTCTAAGTCTGGATATGCAGCCTTAATGGCATAGCCGAAGACTTCCTGCAGGCGGCTGTTGATGTTAATCATATTTTTAGTTGGTCTTCTCCTTTCTGCCTGAAGACTCTGTAGGAAAAGAACACAGTGTCTCAGAGAAATACCATAACATCACACAAAGCTTCCCCAGATTTGTAGAATAATAGCCAGGATGGGAAGGCTAAGACACCAACAGGATTCTCAGACATTCATTGGACATACAGAGTCAGGCAATTCTGTATTTGCCTTATCAAAATATAAACAGTAAAAAGTGGTGACTGACTAGAAAACAGAGTGAGGCCCAGCACCTCAGAGGCAGAGGCAGGCAGATCTCTATTAGTTAAAGGCCAGCCTGGTCTTTATAGTGACCAGGGACATATAGAGAGACTCTTGTCTCTTTCTTTTTTTCTTTTGAAAAAGAGCAAAGAAAAGGAAAACAGACATGAGTCCTAAGGTGTTTTACACCAAGCACTGACAGTGAACTCAATGGGACAGAACAACTGCCAGATTCTCTCCAGAACCGACCATTTCAGGGCAGGAGAGGAACCTAGAGTGACAGGGCTATACCAGAAACACAGGCTTTGCCTCACTGTAAGTAACCTCTGGGCTGAGTCCTACTTATGATTTCTCAACAACTTTTAAATGGAGCATATTTAGATAGACTATAATTACTCTTATTATCACTCATTACACCTTTACAAAACCATCAGCCTGCTGAATGTAGAGAAGTATTTCATTCATAGTATTCTCCATTATATCTGGCATCACACCTGCCATGTAGGATGTTATCAAAGCACATAATGCAACAGAGTATAGAAAGCAAGAGGCCAGCTTGACCCAGGCCAATGAGGGCTACACAGTAAGACCTCATCTCAAAAAAGGAAAAAAAAAAAAAAAAAAAAAAAAAAAAAAAAGGGATAGGACCTGTCAGCAGGGCACAGGCTTAGCAGAGGTCCTGGATCCAACACCCCAGAGCCCTCCTGACAGGAGTGGGCAAACAGACGCTCTCCACAGAGCACCATGAAAACACCTGCTGTGTACTAAGACATGAACCTAGGGCCTCAGGTGTGCCATGAAGCTGGAGCTCTAACACTGAGCTACCCCTAGACCAACTAATCACTCTTACATTTAAAAAAAAAAAAAAAAAAAAAAAGGCCTAGAGGCTCACACCTCAAATCCCAGCAGTTAGGAGGCTGAGACAGGAAGAGCAATCAGATTGGGCTAGCTACATAGTAATAATAACCTGTCTCAAGATGACAACAAACTCCCGAAAGACCAACAGTGTGAAATATTATGGCAACAGGCATCATTACTTTTATGTGGATTAGTGATTGATTACAAACCAGGTGTACAGGAATCTAGGGTCAAGTCCTACCCTCATCGTTGTTTGCTACAAAATAAAAAAATTTACACATACTAGTTTTTATTTTTTTGAGACAGGGTTACTCTGCAGCCCAGGCTGGCCTCAAACTTGCAACAATCTTCCTGCCTCAGTCTATCAAGCTACAATCTTTCTTTTGGTTTTTCTGAGACAGGGTCTCTCTGTGTAGACCAGGCTGACCTTGAACTCAGAGAAATGGCTGCCTCTGGAATGCTGAGATTACATGCCTGGCAAAATTCTTCAACTCATCAAAAAGCCTGATAACATTTTAGATCAGATACTGAGGTGGGCAAGGAATGGCTATTAAGGGTGCTCATGATAGTCTGAGATAAACTGTAACTGGGCTCTGGACCAGCTACATTCCAACCCCTCCACAAAGTTCTAATCAGTCAGCTTTCCTTAAGGCTCAATACAAGGTGTGTTTCTCAATGGTGTAATTTTGTACATGTTTACAAAAACATTGCTAACAGACACAGAGGTAAAACAACTTTGTAAAAATAAAAAGTAGGTAGAAAATGTTATTTAAATATACTCTTAGGGTCCCAAAGAAATCAGTAATAAATTAAAGAAAAAACAAAACTGGTAAAGGGAGGCTTGGATAGGTCAATTGATAATCTTAAGCCTGACTCTGAGAGTCTAGGGTTCAGTTCCCTGCTACCTTTCTAGGCAGCCCCTGTAAAGTTTAAGAGTGGCTCTCAGAATTCAAACAAAAGAGAGCATTAAGAAAAATAAGATGAAACAAACAGACAAAACCTGGTAAGATATTGGCATCTTTTGTAATAAACATGTACACACACACAAACAACACTACTGAATTAAAGTAAATACAACAGAGAAGTCAGTATAAATGCAGAATAAATGATGTAACCAAAATGGTGTTTCTTTTGTGAGGAGTCCACGAGGAAGGAATTGTGTTAGAAGATGCAAAGATGAAGCTGTCTGAGCAGCACAGCTAATCCCAAGCAGGTAATAAAGAACTTCAAAGGATCGGTCAGGCAGCCTAAGCTGAGTATATGAAATAGCCCTTGTGCAACCCCAAAGCTAATACATGCACTGGAGAACAATTATGAGGCTGAAGTAACACTCCGGGATGTGTCATCAGCAAACCTGAAAGGCAGGCCAAAAAACTGAAAGGTAAGCTTAAAAAACAAAACAAACAAACAAACTACACTGATAGCCATTGCTGTACTGTAAGGCTATTAGAATGGTGGCATGGTAGGACACCTGTAAACTCAGTACTAGAGATGGAAGCAGAAAGACTGATAGGCTCAGATGTCAGAGCCCTGAAGTCAGCCTGAGCCTATAGTGGACTGTTGGGGGGGAGGAGGAGGAGAGGGAAACTTTTGCAACATTAAATGACAACAGACCGAAAAGATGGAACAAAACATACAGTAAGTAACTTAATAGCATAGACACTATGTATCAGTGAGTGTATTTTAAAATATCCCATTAGTTTGTTCCTGGGTTTCAGTACAAAAGCCAAATAAATGACAGAAAATTTATTTTACCATACTGGCAACGATTTAAAACAAAATATTTCCTTGAAAACACAGGCATAAGCTGTTGAAGAAATCTCAGTTCCCAAGCCATTCTATAAGGCAGCATAATGAACAGCTGCAAAGGGTACTGGAAAGCTGGGACCGTTCCATTCCTGCTTAACTGAGTCCTAACTTGCCTTACGCAGGAACCCATTCTTAAGCAAACTCCTCTTTTCAGTCTCTGTAGTGCATACTTCTGCAGACACCCAGAGCACTCACCCTTCGGAGAATATTCAGTCTGTACTTCAATTTTAAATTTTCCTCTCGTAGCTGTTCCAAACTCGGAGAAAGTTCCAAGTAGCTGCAGTTCTTCAGCCGGTCGATCTCTGCAGTCAGGGATTTAATCTCCTTTTCCTGTTGTAGGGGAAAGGTCAGTCCAGTTCATACGAATGCTTCCAAGATAAAGGCAAACTGTATCACAGACTCGCTTCCTCATTTCAGTCCTCCACAACTGATGGCACAGATTAGGAGAACGGACTTTCCCTTTGAGCACAGTGACTTACTAACATCAGCGATTACCCTTTATAAGATAAAACTGAGTCTACACACGTGAGCTGGGAATGAGGGACAGCAGTGCTCCATGAAGTGCATAGTGGCACACCCAACTGCTAGGCAGGAGTACTGTAAGACTGGGGCCAGCCTAGGGTAGATACATAGCAGGACACTTTCTCAAACACAGCAGCTCAATAATGCGACCTGATTTAGTCAGAGTGCAAGATTCCGGCTTTACATACTGTCTATATGCCTAAATCTTATTACTCGGACTAAAACAAAACAAAACAAAAACCCAGTAAGAGCTGGGGACCTACCTACTTCAGCCACGCGTGGCTCTGGGTTCGATCCCTTTGAGACAAAAGGAGTCAACACAAGCTTCCATCTTTTGTCATATTCAAAATCGCTCAAGCGTCTGTCTTTGCTGGGTTTAAGTAAACTTCCGGTATATTTCCCCCCATCTCCAGCACCTGCTACAATAAACCCGAGTCACAGCACCAAAGAGCTTGTCCATTTAACTTCTAAATATCGGGGCTGCTGATCTGCATAAAGCAGTTGCTGTAACAGGACAGACTTGGGCAGACTGAATTCCTATCACTCGTAGCTGGGCCCGAAAACGAAAACGAGACTGAATCCACTTTCGCTTTCTAAAGTTGTGGCTTTGTCCCGGACCTACGCGGGAGGCCTCTTGGGGAGCTTCTGGCTGGGTTCCACAGCACACCTGCCCTGCCCCACCTGGCACACGTGCGCGGCCCGCAGGGTGAGCCTCGCTGTCCACCAGAGACACCCTCTCTCCTCTGAGTGACGGTCGCACGGCTCAGCCAGGGATGGATTCTCCTCTCCCCGTCAAGAGGAAACCGCTGGGGAAGCGTGGGCCTCCCAAGCGCCGCCGCCCGGCCCAGAGCCCTCTGCCCCGCCAAGGGACAAACCTGCTGCAGCAACCGCGCGGAGCACTGAGCCACTAGACCGTCCATCCTCCCCTAAGCGACTCACACGCCAAGTGGCCGGAAGCGGAAGTGGCTAGTTTTGACCGGAAGCGGAAATTTCTACCCGGGTTTATTACAGCTGCCAGCCCTCCAGGGCGCGCCCTCTGCTGCCCCCTGGCGGGATCCAGGAGGCAATGCGAGTGAGGCGGGAGCAGGACTAGCTGATGTTGGGGTCAGGGAGGCTGGAGGATAGGAGCCATAGGCCAAAGCTACCCTGTGCTTGGACTGACATGGAGGCCATGTACCTAGACCCTCTGTTTGTCAAGGTGCAGAAATGAACACAGAACCCATAAAACCCATCTTTCTGTTTTATTGTTGTTGCTGTTTTCCTGACTTCTCTGTGTAGCCCAGGATGTTCTGGAACTCACTACATAGCCCAGGCTGGCCTCAAATCTGGAGACCTGCTATTTCCAATCAGTTTCATATACCCACTATCCTATGGTTGGTAATTGATGACTGTTCTTGCCATATTCCCATTAATGCATTTACTTAGTCAATAGCTTAGAATAGCTTTGATAATGTTATGGGCCAAAGATATAAAAATGAATTATCCCAGAAGCATCTATGATATAAGCCACTACTGTGGCTCAACACAGAGTAATTTGTCTTCTATTGGGCCACAATAGAAGACACTGGATAATCAATGCAGGGCCTTAGTTTCCAAAGGCTTGTCTTTTTCTGTTGTCTTTCAAGTACTGGAGACAAGGAGCATGCAAGGAGAAAATGTTTGTTGGTACTTTTTTAGTTTATGTGGAGCTCTGATAGTGCATTTCAAACTGTATGCAGTAATTTATCCGGTAAGAAAGGATAAGAAAGGCTAAGCAAAGAGAGAACTGAGCAGCATTTATTTTCATTTTTATCTTCTGAGACTGTCCCATTTCATAGCCCTGGCTGGTCTGGAATGCACTTATATAACCCATGCTGGCCTTGAACTTACGACCTTGTAAGTACTGGGATTATAACCATGCCCAACTTGGGTAGCATATATATAGATAAGCAATGACCTGGATGTTGCGGAAAAGCACACTGAAGTCCAAGCACTTTGGAGGCGAAAGCAGTAGCATCAGGAGTTCAAGATAATCCCTGCTGGGCATGGTAACCCGTGCCTGAAATCCCAGAACTTGAGAGCAGAAACAGGAGTTCAAGGTCAGCCTTGACTATATAATGAGTTAAAAGGGAGCCTGGGCTATATGAGAAGTGGTCTTTAATTCTTTTCTTCCTTAATCCCTGCACTTAGGGAGGCAGAGGCAGGTAGATTTAGGTGAGTTCGAAGCCAGTCTGGTCTACAAAGTGAGTCCAGGACAGCCAAGGCTACACAGAGAAACATCGTCTCAAAAAAAGCAAAAAAAAAAAAAAAAAAAAAAAAAAAAATCTTTTCTTCCAGTGCTGGGATTGAACCCAGGGCTTTGTGCTTGCTAAGTAAAAATTCTCCTATTGAACCACATCCCCAACACCAACACTCTGTCTCTAACTTTCTCTTTCTTTTTTCTTCTTCTTTTTTTCTCTTGAGAGGTTTCACTATGGTAGCCCTGGCTGTCCTGGATTTTGCTATGGAGAGCAGGTGGCCCCGAACCCACACAGATCTGTCTGACTCTGGCGCCCGAATGCTGCAATTAAAATCATGTTCCAGTGTGCCTGGCTGAGAGATCCCCTCCCAACCCCCTTTTTTAAACATAAAATAAACAAGACCCTGCTCTGTGGTTAAGAGCACTTGTTACTTTTCCAGATGACTGGAGTTCCTGGCACTCATGTCAGATGGCCCATGTAACTCTAATTCCAGGGGATACTACTCTAGAGGCTGTCCTTCACGGGCACCTTCAGACATAGTTATAAATAAATCTTTAAAAAACAAACAAACAAACAAACAAACAAACAAACAAGGCTATCCTAGACTACAGAGTGAGTGTGAGACCAACCTGGTGTCAATATATAACCAAATAAAATAAAAAGCACATTGAGGTGCTGGAGAGATGGCTCAGTGGTTTAGAGCACTGACTTCTATTCCAGAGGACCTGGGTTCAATTCCCAGTACACACATGGTGGCTAACTACTGTCGGTAACTCCAGTTCCAAGGGGATCCAACATTCTCTTCTGGTCTCAATAGGAACTGTACCCAAGTGGTATACAAACATCCACCCAGCAAAGTACCCATACACATAAAATAAAAACAAATATACCCCCATCCATCCATCCATCCATCCACATTTAAAAAAGCACACTGAAATCATACTGATAATCCCAGAGAGGCTGAGGCAAGACAATTGTTTTGAGTTTGGGGTCAGCCTGAGCTATATAGTGAGACCCTCTCTCAAAATAACAAAACCCAACATAAAATAGGGAAGATCATGATAATACTTTCTGGCTAGCATAGCGTGAAGATAAACCATCTGAAAATGAACATTTAAAGAGTGTCTAGGTCTGCGGTGAGGGGAAAGGTGTGGTTCTACAGCTTTTGTGTAGCTGTTGGACTTGCTAGAGTTAGCTACTACCCTTTAAAATAATAAAAACGAGGCTTAAACTTATTACTTTGAATTATGTGTGCTTGTGTGTCGAAGGCTGAGGGTATGTGCACATGAACACGAGTGCGGGTAGAGTTACAGGTGGTCGTGAGCTGACTGGGTGCCCTTCACCAGTCTTCAGTCCCCCGGAGAGCAGCAAGCGTTCTTAACTGCCGAGCCACCTCTCTAGTCCCAGTAAACACTTATTTTTGTGTGTGCATGTGTGTCTGTACCCCATGTGCATGCTTGGTATGCACAGAGACCAGAAGAAGGTGTCAAATCCCTGAAACTGGAGTTGCATATAGCTGTGAGCCACCATGTGGGTGGTGGGGATCAAATCCTGGTCACCCAGAGAGCAGACAGTACTCTTAACCTCTGAGCCATCTTTTCAGTGTCAGTTTTTTTTTTAAGACAGGTTTTCATGTTGCTGAGATGGCCCAGAACTCCTGCATCTACCTCTCAGGTGCCAAGATCACACACACAGGCCACCAATCCATAGGTTCATACAGAGCTGAGCCGTCACGTGAATCTAATGGACCAATGAGTGTAACCGGAAAAATAAAAGGGGAAAGAAAACAAACTTTCCAGGATTGGGAGGGGGAGTGGGGTGAAACCAGAGAAATAAAAATGAAGGATTCAAGGGAAACAAATGACAAGAAACTGTTTCTTAAAAGGCCACTTTATTGATAGAGATAGATCCAAAGGCGGTTCTCCGCAGCCCTCCCCTCCTCTGACAGCGGCTTCACTGGGCATCTGAGATGGGTGTGGCCTGTTACCAGTCTGGGCTGGCCTTGCTCAGGCAGCTTCATGCTGCCTGCTTCAGGTCAGGTGGCCACATCAAAGACACATCACAGCTCACAAAGATCCGCGGACAATCTTGGAATCCCCCATGGTTTCTGTACATCCTCCTCTTTGTAATATTGTACAAAATACGTTAACTAGGGCAGGTTAGCTGTGCTGTGCCACCTGCGAGACTTCCTTTGAGGATTATTGTCCCTCAAACATGATTTTTTTTTTTTTATTGCAGGGAAACCTCTAAAAGCTGTTGCTGTACAAAAAGAAAACTCTAGACAATTTTAAGAATAGCAGCTGCTTAACACTGCTTTAGTCCATTTAAATTTTTCTTTCCCAAAAATACATTCCTAAATATACAAACTATACAATCTTGTCATTTTAATGCTGGTTTTTTTGTTTGTTTGTTTGGTTTTATTGTTGTTGTTATAGTTGTTTTAAATAATAACAAGAAAACCTGAACTAAAAAAAAAAAAATCTGTCTTCAAACCAACAAGAGCTCTTGGGGCCATGTGACTCGGTACCTTCATATAATGCCTCATAAATAATTTTAGCCACAGTCAGCCTTCACAGCATGGGCCTGGGCAACAACGGAAACACTTCTCTGGTGGTTAGACGTCATCTGCAGAGAGAGCTGGGATGTTCATCCGCGGCCGGGTGAAAAAGGCCATCTTCTCCCTGTGATGGCAAACAGGTGTTTCAACTTCACTCAGACTCTCCATGGACAGGATGAGTCTTTCTGTTCTGGGTCTGAAACTCAGGGCATCAGGCCTGCTGAGTGCATAGCCTGCTGCTGAGCTACACTCTAGTAGGATGTTTAGTGATAGCCCTGGCTGCTCTCAAATGCTCTTAGCATGCCTGAACTCTGGCTGTGAAATCTGAAATCTGTGGACACAGAGCATGGCGGTATATGCCTCTAGTCCCAGCAACTTGAGAAGCTGATGGACAAACATATTTTGGGTCCATGGTTTTGAGGTCTTAGCCATATAGACCCATCTTTAAAAAAAATATAAAGAGTATAAACAAATATTGTCAAATACCCCCTGCAGCAAAATAGCAGACAAAATCATGCTCAATTGCTTTTTGTTCAAGGCAGAAAACACATGCATAGACATATATTTGTGAGTGAGTGTGTGTCTTTGTGTAAGTGAACATTGGTTTATTTCGGTTTTTCATGTGTTTGAGACAGGGTCTCATGAAACCCAGGTTGGCCTTGAACCTACAATATAGTGGATGGAGGATGAATCGAAGTCCTTCGGAGTTGGGAGGCCTAGGCCAAATGGCATTTCCGACCCTCCTCTGACATGCGTAGGTCTAGCCAGGCAAGAACACAGCTGTGATCCTATCAGGCAGGCAAGCAAGCAGAGCCAGGAAGCTGGGTGAGTCTCCGCAGCACCCCACTCCCCATCCCCTCCTTCCACCACTTCCGGACAGGCTCAGAGGAAAGGACGAAGCAGGTGGCTCATTCCTTAAACAAGAGGATCGCACCAAATTAGGCTGAGTTGTGTGGGGAGCGACAACAGAGCACCACGCTGCCCATAGCGTGGTGGGAGCCTTGCAGAGGATGAACATCTGTCCCCGTGTAGGTTACGGCTCTGCTAGCGGCAGGGGCAGTGCCCAAGAGCTGGGCCTGGGAACAGTGAGGCCAGCAAAGGTGATGAGGGTGAGGTGGGCTGGGTGTCAGAAGTGGCCTGGGATCCTCGACTCACCTGAAGGACTGCACTTCTGGG